TTTTTAATAAAGGGACCTTTTCCCAGAAGTTGTTTCTAGAAGGCCCCGGATTTTTATAATCATCTTACATATTAATTAACTAAGGACTTTATATTCAGACATGTTTATAAATAGGAAAAAGAAATGTCTTGTTGAAGTCCTGTGTGATCTTTGGGAATGAAGATGGATGCAGCAGGTGGCACCTGCCCTGAAGGGGCACTGCTTTCAGTTGCTGTGTTGTCTTAGTTTACCTTAGAACTCAAACAGCCACCGTCACAGGCATTTCATGGGCTCTGCTACGTGGAATACTGGTTCTAATCTGAAGTAAACATGTTACTTAAGGATAGGATAACCACATCCTGATTTGCACAGACCATCCCAGTTTGCACTTTTACTCTGGCTTAATTATTCACTGGAGCCCTTTTCACCTGTGAAGCTGTGGTTAAGGACCTGAATTGAGGCTGTTACAGAAATAGACTAGGAAGTCATCTTTTTTTTTCCAGGTTCAAATATTAGGCGAGGATTATCTTTAAAATTAAACCTTAGTTCCCCTTTAGAAAGATTTATTTAAAAGGCAGAGTTGCAGATAGAGAGGAAGAGACACAGGGAGAGAGATTTTCAATTCACTGATTTCACTCCCAGATGGCCACAGCAGTCAGATCTGGGGCAGACTGGAACCAGGAGCTACAGATTCCATCCAGGTCCCCAAATGGATGGCAGGGCTCAGAGTTCATCTGCTGCTCCTTCCCAGGCAACTTAGCAGGAAGTTGAATCAGAAGTAGAGTAGTGGGAGGCAGTTTGCTGTACTACAGTTTTGGCACCTAAATCTGGTTCTGATTACATTTAGAGTAACAGAGATGTAATTCTAACTGTAAGGCCAGCTGTAACTGTGATTCGGGGTTAGGTAGGAAGGATTGCATGTGAAGCGTAATGCTTGGGATACAGTGAGCAAGTGGGTGTTAGGAATTACTAAGAATCGTCTTGGTGAATACTCTATTCCACACTGTGCTACATGCTCAGGGATACAGAAACGGATACTGTACTCTTCCTATGACCTAAAGTACGGGTGTGTGTTTTTCCCTTAGTATTGTAAACAGACTCCTTCTACTTAGTAAATAATACACATGATGAAACAGTTTAGTTCTTCATACTGTCTGGCTGTAGCTCTGCTGTATTTATTAACATTGATCACACAGCGTCTTTGTCTAGCACTATTGCAGCTACCAACGATATGAATGTGACTAGCCTCAGAAGCTTATGGAAGCATAATTTTTAGTTTTAAGGGACCAATGCATAAATATACAGTTTTTCTTAGAGCATTTTTTTTAACTTAGTGTGCATACATAGATCATGCTACAACTGAATGAAACTGTTACTTTGGATTATGCAATAATGGAACAAGCGTATGAGGGTCTACAGCATTGTAGTAATAGCACAGCCACAATTTGTCCACATTTAATCAGAAGTGCTACTTTCCCTACTCAGCACCTCCTACCCTTGGTTCACCTCCTACCCTTGGTTCGCCTCCTAAAAAAGGAGTAGAAGGGAGGGCCACTTTAATGCGAGTCAGTCTGGTCAAGGGGTGTGAGCTCCAAGAGGCTCACAGAGAAGATTATGAAACTAGTGGCCGAACAGATCTTCCATGTGCTGGTTTGCTCCCAGTGGCTGTAATAATGGCCAGAGCTCCCTCCCTCTCCCCATCTCTGCCCCCCTCCTTTCTATATATCTGACTTTGCAATAAAATTAAAAAAAAAAAAAAAACTGTAACTGTTTCACCTGTTATCTGTTCTGTAGGAAAAAAATTGTTTTGCACTGAAAGAAAGGCAATAGATTGATACCTACTTTGGCTTGCCTTTTTCTCATGGGTGGATGATAATCTCAGAATTGAGCTAATTTCAAACTCTTGATCCCATAAGAGGAGTAAAAAAAAAATTTTTTTTTTTTTTTAGTTTAAATTATGTACTTGGACGGCTGGATGACAGGCCGAGGAAGCGAATCATCCACTGATTTTCCCCCAAATGGCAATGACAGTTGAGGCTGGCCCAGGCCAAAGTCTGGAGCCAGCAGCTGCATCCGGGTCTCATGTGGGTGGCAGGGGTCCACGTGGTTGGTTTCTTTCCTTACATGCACTGCCCAGCAGGGAGGTAGGTCAGCTGGGGTTTGAGTTGCTGCTGCAATGTGAGATGCTAGCACCTTCATGCTCTGTGCCATAGCGCTGGCCGGAAAATCACAACTGTGACAACTCTGAGTCCCCGTCTGTAGTCTGTTTCTGGGAGCAGAGCCCTGCTGGAAAGACGGTCATAAAGCAATTCACAGTAAGGGAAGGGTGGCATCCTGAGAGTAAATGGCAGTTACCAGTCAGAATGATTCACAGCTTCAAGGCTTCAGTTCCAGTATCCCCATAAATAACACCATGCTTACTAGAAGAGTCTAGATTTTTGGTTCAGAAAAAAAAACAATATTGATATCAATAGAGGAAATGCAAATAAGCACAAATTATCTTTCTATAAAGAATTTTTGGATTATGATTTAATGGATAGCTAGAGATGAGAAGCACGAGGATGTTCAGACAGGGCAGGTGTTAGAAGCATCAAGTGTGGAGGTGTGAATGCTCAGGCAAAAGGTGTTTATCCTTCATTGAACCTCCTGGCAGGGGACACATTGGAGCATCGCACACAGCGACGAAAATGGTGAGAAACATGGCCAGTTCTTCCTGAGATGCATGGTCTTGATCACAGCCTGTTCTTACTCATGTCGCAGAGAACAGAGACGTGTTCGGGTTGCTTTCTGATCTGTGTAGGGGTTTACATTTAGGTTGTGAGTTTCGTTGAAAACACGTGTTTGAAAGTGGACGCTGCTGGATGATTACTTGGTGAGCCCTGTGGAGTGTCCGTCTGCTGCAGTAGAGTGAGCTTGGGGAGGTGGGTGTCAGGAACACAGGGTTCCGGCACTGTGCTGCAGGCAAGTCACTTGAGCTCCCTGAGTCCTGGCCTCCTGGCCTCCTGGCCTCCAAAGTGTGAGATGACAATCAGGAGTTTCATGCTGTATTGCTTTTGATCTTGATAAAAATTTTCTGCAAGTGAAGCTCTCCACAAAACTCTTTTAAAAACAGATTAGAATTACTTAAAGGGAGGTGGGGAGCTTAAAGTCCCAAAACTTCTTCCCCAAAGTTCTAAAGGCATGGAGAAGACACACCTGCAAAACGTTCTCTGATTCTTGCATTGACAGAGTAGAAGTTCTTAACACATTTAATTAGGTAATGTAATACTATATGTTAAACACATTTAATCCATAGGAGATACTGGTGCAGTAGGCAATTAAAAAACAGCAACAACAACACTGGGCTTCCTTGTAGGACACTTGAAGAATGAAAAGCATACAAGAGGTTCTGTGGCTTTTTCTAAAAGCAAAGCTCATACTGTGTAGAGATTCAAGGCAGCAATTTTGATCCCTAAAAATCACTGCAGAAAGTAAGAATGTTGAACCTGTATGTTTTAATTCTGCAAGATCTTAAAAAATATTGGCTTCATTTACTTTTTAGATAGGAGATAAATGTACAACATTGTACTGAAATCTGAAAGTTACAGAAATGTGTAAACTTAGAAGATCTTCCCACCCCTGCCCTCAACTGCCCAGCTTCCCAGTTCCCTGGTCTGGGAGGGGTCACCCTCACCAGCTTCCCCCTACCAGGATGCTGTGTTTATGGCAGCGCTGGCAGATTGGTGAGTGAACTAGTTTGCTCTGACTGCTATATAGCATGATCCCAAAATGGGTGGCTGAAAACGGTGGGCACATATTCTCTCCCAGGTCTGAAGGACAGAATTTTAAAGTCAGTCACTGGGTAGAAATCAAGGCGTTGACATTGGGTTGAAATTGAGTCTGTATTCCAGTCTGTAGGATGCCTGTTCCAGCACCTGGGTCTGCCAGCATTCCTCACCTTAGGGCCTCATTCCTCCAACATTCAAAGTGAGCATCTTTTCGTTGCCCTTTACCTGGTCCTCTGTGTCGCGGGTCTCCCTCTGCCTCTGTCAGCTGATGACAGTATTGCACTGGTGTGGATAATTCAACCTGATTTCATGTAGGATTTTGCTGTCTAAGAAAGCGTTACCAGATACTAGACATTAGGAGCTTTTCATGGAGCGGGTCTCCTTTTTCACTCTACTACAGGGGTACAACAATATACTGCATACACCTTTTTGACCTTGCTTCTGACGGTGGAATGACCTAAAGGGTCCATTAATTTATAACTAGGTTAATAAACTATGATATATGTTAAGAATAGAGTATGGTAAAATGGGCGCACTGACATGGAACTGTTACCAGTAGGAAAAAACAATCTGCAGGGTACATGAATAAGGTGGAAATATGGAAACAGATATATCACACTTTAAGGTGGCTTCTCTAGAGTGTAAAACTAGAGGACTTTCCCTCCCCCTCTCACCCCACCCCTGGCGACGGGAAAGGGAGTGGTGTGATCTATATTTAAAGGTAAAATAACTGGGCCTGGTGCAGTAACCTAGTGACTAAAGTCCTCGCCTTGCACACACTGGGATCCCGCATGTGTGCTGGTTCATGTCCGAGGTGCTCCACTTCCCACCCAGCTCCCGGCTTGTGGCCTGGGAAAACAGTCGAGGGCAGCCCAGTGCCTTGGGACCCTGCACCCACCTGGGAGACCTGAAAGAAGCTCCTGGCTCCAGATTGGCTCCACTCCAGCCACTTGGGGAGTGAACTGGCAGCTCCAGCCAGGTGGCAGGGGCGTTGCTCTACCTAGTGTTGGAGGGAGCTGGAGAGGAAGCCAGGCAGCCAGGACTCCAGTGCGAGCTGCTGGTGTCCTGGGTGATGGCCTAACTGCATCACAGCACTGGCCCTATTTTATGTAAAATGTTGTGTTGAAGTATTTTAGTCACATGTGCTTTATAGTAAACTCAGAAGAAAATGGGCTTGGATTTTATTTTTTTGGATAAAATATGTTGCAAATGTAATTGAGGATGATTAAAATTTACTTTTGGTTTGTCTCCTAGATAGCAGACCCAACATTAGCCGAAATGGGCAGAAACCTGAAGGAAGCAATGAAGATGCTGGAGGACAGTCAGAGGTGAGTGGGGCGGGGGAGGCCTGGGGGCGGCTGCCTGGCCAGCCGGCCTGCTGACCTGCTGACCTGCGGCCTGCTGTCCACGGCTCCAGCTGCCTTCCACTGATGGCACCTCTTGGCTCTAAGTCACACAGCCTCAGTGGGCTTTGAAATGGCTGTTTACCTTGGGGAGAAGGCACTCTGTAATTAAAGGATTTTTAAATTGAAGGAAGGACATGTAATTTTCACTTCTATTACAAGTTTCATTTACTTACTAATAGATTGATTTGAACCTATAAATAGTTCTTAATGTAGATTCAGGTCATAAGAGCATCAGCTAAGCAAGAAATGAGTTGAAGTAGTTTTTTGGTTTTTTTCCCCTTGTTTTTCTTTTCATGAAATTCAGACTACACCCAAAACTCTGGAGGGGAAGCCAGTGGGGTAGATGTGTTTTAGGGTAGCCAGTGTGGGTGTGTTTGCATGTTGCAATGTTAAAAGTTGAGTGTGATGAAATAAACAGCTTTTGTCTCCCTCACCTTAGAAGAACAGAGGAGGAAAACGGAAAGAAGCTCATAGCGGAGGATATTCCAGGGCCACTCCCGGGCAGGTAGGTAACAGTGGAAAAACAGTCCCTTTGTTGCGTTGGGTTTTTCTTAAATCAGGATTTTACCATTGTTGATTTACGGTTTTAACAAGCACAGAGCACATTTAAGTAGAGCTATGTGGAGTGTGCTGTTAGAAACCCAAAACACCATTGCTCATTGGTGACACTGCCTTGCCAGCCAACTTCTCTCCCTTTCCCATTCAGATTTTCTTATTATTTGAAAGGGAGAGTTACAGAGATTAGAAGGAGCATATCTTCCATATTGCCAGTTCATCTTTCACATGATCACAACCAGCTGTGGAGCTGGGCCGGCGCAAAGCCGGGAGCCTCTTCAGGTCTCCTGTGTAGGTGTGGGGGCTCAAGCACTTGGGTCATCTGCTGTTGCTTTCCCAGGCGTGTTAGCTGGGAGCTGGAGCCAATGTGGACCAGCACCCATATGGAATAGTGGTGCCACAGGCAGAAGAAGCCTGCTGTGCCTTTGTGTCAGTTTCCCTCTCCTCCCATCTGGAACTGAATGCAACTTCGTGACTCACAGGCAATGTATCTGTTGATATTTACAACTGGATTTTCACATTTAAAACCTGTAATCTATTTGGTAGACAGCTTTATTTTGTAAGAGAGATCTTAATTTGATTAAATTTGTGATTTTTATAATGCAAAAAGTTCCAACAATATCATCTTTATTACTAGCAGAGTGATTATTTTTTTTCTTTTTGGCCACCTAATCTAATCTCACAAGTCTTTGTGGTTTGGGCTTGTAGGGAAAATATGAGGAAAATAGGTGACAGAAATTTTCATAGAATGTTAGTCTGGAATAAGAGTCACTGCACAGGTTCTTGCAACAATTTTTTTTTTATAACCAGGAAACTGTATATGGGTAAACAGTACAACTCCCTTAAATTGTCCTTTGACCTTAACGTAAACTGTGTAAGATTACAAAAGAAAGGCATGGAAGAGGGGTCATAGGGGCCAGTAAACACCCAGATACTAATATTTTTAAAAAGTTACTCCTGCTTATAGCCTAAGTGGTACCCATTTGAAACCCTCTTGGTGTAAAATACTTTGAACAACTTGGTACAGGAAGTCAGTCCTGTGTCTCTACCTCAGCTGTAATTCTCAGATTGATGGCGGATTAAAGCCGCTGGTCTGGAGGCTTCGCACGGTAAGGCTCACGTCCAGCGTAGACCGCAGTGTTCTATAGCGCTACGCTCAGCCATGTGGCCAGCACCTGGTGTGCCTCATGGGCTCCTGCCTGTCCTAAGCTCTGTGGTGTCCAGAGCGAGCGCCCCGTCACTGGGAGGTCAGCACCCTGGGGTTTGGGGACATTGTTTTGACGTTATTTTTTGGAGGAGAAAACATACTAGTCATAGTCTGACTAATGGAAGAATGATATTTTTATATCACACCTGTCATAAGTTGCCTTGCCTGTCTTTGCTCACTGTTTTAGGCATTTGAGTGCTTGAAGTTTTCACCCCACATAATGAGCAGTTAGAAGTAAATGTTTAAGATTCAAGCCAATTTCAAGTGTCCTGGCTTGGGGAAGAGCTGGTAGTAAATGCCACTTGTTGTATTACATAGTTAAGTCTGTCCAGACAAGACTCCTACAGAAGAAAACCAGATATACCAGTAGCTCAAAACACCCAAGGTGCTTCTGTAAGCTGGTAGCATCTTACATGGACAACATGTTTATTAGATACTCTCTGTCCTCCAGTAGAAAATTCAGATGAACCAGTTTACAAAAATACTGCTGAAGTAAGACTGGCAAATTTTTTAAAAGATCACTTAATTAATTTATTATTTATTTGAAAGGAGGAGTAACAAAGAAGTTACATTCACTGATACTCCTTCAAAGATAGTAGAAACCAGGAACTCCATTTGCATCTCCTAAGGGTGGCAGGGGTTCAGTTGCTTGGGCGTCTTCAGCCTTCCTCCATGCGCATTAACAGGGTGCTGAGTTGGAGGCAGAGCATAGGGGACACGGAACTGGATGCTGGCTAGGTAAGCAATGGCTTTATAACCCCTTGTGCCAGCTCCTGACTAGTGAAGCTTTTATAAATCAAATTCCTATTTGGGTAAAATGAATTAGTCACAAGAATTCTGTTTAGAATTTGAGGTTTGTTTGTTTTTAGGAATGTGTAAACTATCTCAAATACCTCTTTCTCTTATAGCTACTCAACTGTAAAAAAAAAAAAAAATTATTAATAGCCAAAGCTAGTTTGAATGGGAGAGATGGTGGCAGAGTGGTGCTGGTTGTGTCACTCTTTCTACCAGTCTAATTCTTTTCTTCTGCAGTGGGCAGGATATGGTGAGCATCCTCCAGTTGGTTCAGACCCTGATGCACGGAGAGGAGGAAGAGGAGCCCCAAAGTGCTCGGTAATGGAGACCGGCTGGAGGCAACAGCTGCCATCCCAAAGTTCATGTGTTGTTTTTATTTTCCTTTTCATCCTTTCTGATTTGTTTATTTATTTATTTTTAAGATTCCTTTATTTGGAAGTCAGAGAATAAGGACTTTCATTCATTGGTTCCCTTCCCAAGGGTCTATAATGGCCGGGGCTAAGCTAGGCAGAAGCCAGGAACAACTTCCGTGTTTCCTGTATGGGCCAAACCCTAGGGTCATGCCGTCCTTGACTGCTTTTCCATGGCAGATTGTTCTAGTTCAAAGTCAGATGATGAAAAGGAATGTACAAAGGCTTTTTTCTTTCCTACCTTTGCCTCCCAGTTCTCTCCCTAGTGATAGTGGTTTCTCTGGCGTGCTAGGTGTGTGTGCACACTTATATACACTCACAAGCAAAATATCTGTGCACACCTTTCCAGTACAGAAATACTGTGTACATGTTGTGTTGTGCATCTCGATGTTTCTCTGTCTTGGGTTCAGTGCCTTTTCAGTACACAAGGTGCTCTCTCCCTTTTTTTTTTTTTTGACATAGTTTTATGTGAAAGGCAGAGGAAGACAGTGATACCTGCCTGCTCGTTCACTGCCCAGATGCCCTCAGCAGCTGCGGCTGGATCAGGCCAAAGTGGGCAGCTGAGACTCCAGATTCAGACTCCGACATGGGTGGCAGGGACCCAAGGGTGCTAGGAACCCTGCTCCCAGGGCTATCTACATGGCAGGAAACTGATTCATACTGGTTCTTGACAAAGTCGTTTCTGCTAATCTTATCATGAGTCTATTTCCTATAGCTCTTAAAAAATCACCAATTTTAACATGATTTTAAGACGGGAAATAATTTAAGAATTATAGATTCTTAGTAAAAAAAAAAGAAAAAAAGAAAGAAAGATGATTTGTTTCCTAGATCCTGAGTTTTTCAAGCTTTCTCTCCCCAAAAGCAGTCAGGATTTACATGTATTGAGTCTTCTGAATTTCTGCTTTCTGAACCAATAAGTGGATTTTGAGTGCAGTGTAAACTTCTAATTTGTGTCTTAGTTCCATTTCCTACTTTATGTTTGTTCTCTTTTAATACTTTTTTCATCTAATGAATTTTAATTAACAGAATCCAAGACATTGGAGAACAAGGGCACATGGCTTTGTTGGGACACAGCCTGGGAGCTTATATTTCAACTCTGGACAAAGAGAAGCTAAGAAAACTTACAACAAGAATACTTTCAGATACTACCTTATGGCTCTGCAGAATCTTCAGGTAAAATAATTGCGAGCCTTTACTTTCCATCAAAGACAGAAGTTAGGTACAGAATGTGAGAGATTGTTTTTGGGGAAATACACCTGGATTCAAATTTGTCTCTTGGAAGGGTTCCTTACTTGGCCTTTCCATGCCTCAGTGTCATCTATTAAGTGGAAATAATATTAATATCTATCTCATGGAATTGTTGTACGTGTAATGATTCCACATACTAGAAGGAGCTGAGATTTTGAGAACGTGTAACTTTGGTAGTGCCATCCACTCCTGGGTTTCTATTTGGCATGTGCTAATGGAAGAAAGAGCCATACTCTGACTCAAATACATTTAATCATAGTATTTCTAAACACTAATCCTAGTGTTAACTCATGGTTTCATAGAAAGGAAACTTTTGTAAAGAAGATGAATATATGTTGTGAAGTAGAAATTTGCTATATGCTGTGGTAATCTTGGCATTCTTACAGAAGTTGGTAAGGGAAACAAGACCCGTGTATTGTGTTTTCTGTGTCTCATGGAGGACTGTTTGCCTGACCATGAACCGTTTCACTTGAGAAACTTCTGCTTTCAGATGTTGGGGAAGAGCCTACATAAAACATTATGAAACATTACAAACCTAGTTCCTGTAATCAATTCTCCCTCCTTCGCAAGTAGATTGTGGTCAAAGCAAAATCAGCCTGGCTAGTTTCTGTCATTTTGCTCTGAACATTTTAGGCGTAAAGTCCAAGCACTATCTCTATCCACTGTCCAGCATGATCCACTGCTGCTGTGTGCACAGAATAAGCCAGAGCTGCCATCTTCAGGCTTTTTCTTGGTGGAGTTGGGTGTGGATGGAGGAGCAGCCCTTGCTCTTTCGTAACTTCGAGTCTGGATGGTTGCCAGCCATCTAAGATGAGGTGTTACACGTTCCTATAAACACATCTGCCTGATCTAGGTAACGGTTTGTAACAGTAGAAAAGTGCTTCACGTATAAAATCATAATTAGCCAGCTACAAGAGCATGTTAACATGTGAGTGTCTCAACAGGTATGAAAATGGATGTGCTTATTTCCATGAAGAAGAGAGAGAAGGCCTTGCAAAGATCTGTAGGCTTGCGATCCACTCTCGATATGAGGACTTTGTGGTGGATGGATTCAATGTTCTCTATAAGGAAAAACCTGTTATATATATTAGTGCTGCTGCCAGACCTGGCCTGGGCCAATACCTTTGTAACCAGGTAATGTGGCAGTGTGTGAATGTTTTAAAGAAGCAGTCTGTTACTTTGTTTTGAGATTTCTAGAGCTTGTAGACTACTTTCCCTAATTCATTTTTTAAAAATACAGGTAAATTTTTAAATGAAGAATATATTAGATGGATTTGCAAAACATTTTTTTAAATTTTCATATTTATTTGAAGGGAAGAAAAGACATCTTCCATCTGATGATACATTCCCCAAATGCAATCCCCTGCAACAGGCAGGGCTGGGCCAGGGTAAAGCCAGGAACCCAGGACGCAAGTACCGGAGCTATCATCTGGTGTCTCCCAGGGTGCACATTAGCATGAGGCTGCATTGGAAGCTGGCTATTTGGAACTTTGGTTTGGGATGCTGTGTTATGCAGCAGTCCCGAGCAGTGACAACCACTGGGCCAAATGCCTGCCCCAGTTTTTACTTGTTTTTAATTGCCCAAATACAGTCACAGTCTACATTTTACTTTCCACACTTTAACTAGAGGTGTGTATGTGTGTATATATGTAGTTGTTTTGTTTTAAGAAAATTTTATTGGAAAGGCAGATTTTACAGAGAAGAGAGACAAAGATCTTCTGTCCACTGATTCATTCCCTAAGTGGTCGCAATGGCCAGGGCTGAGCAGATCCAGGGCCAGGAGCCTCTGCTGGGTTTCCCCGATAGGTGCAAGATGCCAAAGTTTTTGGAACATCCTCCACTACTTTGCAAAGCCAGAAACAGTGAGCTGGATGGGAAGTGGAGCGGCCAGGACGCAATCCAGCACCCATTGTGGGATCCTGGTGCATGGCAAGGCGAGGATGAGCCACTAGGCCAGACCCACATTTTTTGTTTGTTTGTTTGTTTGCTTGTTGTAAGATTTACTTGTTTATTTGAAAGGCAAAAGTTTTGGAGAGGGAAAGTAGAGACAGAGCTTCCATCTCCTGGCTCATTCTAAATGGCCACAGTGGCCCAGCTCAGGCTGAAGCCAGGATCAGGAGCTTATTCCATGTCTCCCACATGGGCACAGGGGCCCAAGTGCTTGGCCCTCTTCCGCTGCTTTTCCAGGTATGTTCACAGGGAGCTAGTTTGCAAGTAGGACAGCTAGGGCTCCATCTGGCACCAATATAGGATGCTGGTACTACAGAGAGAGGCTTAACTATGCCACAATGCCAGCTCCACTAACATGTTTCTTTGTTTTTATAATTTATATTTGTTGGAAAGACAGATTTATAGAGAGAAAGATCATGCTTCCACTGACACACTCCCCAAATGGCTGCAAAAGCAAGAGTTGAGCCGATCCAAAGCCAGGAGCCCGAAGCCACCTTTGGGTCTCCCATGCAGGGGCAGGGTCCCAAGGCTTTGGGTCTTCCTCTATTGCTTTCCCAGGCCACAAGCAGGGAGCTGGATGAGAAGCAGGGCCACCAGGATTAGAACTGGCGCCCATTGGGATCCCAGTGTGTGCAAGATAAGGACTTTGGCCATTAGGCTACTATGTTGGGCCCTGTTTTTATCTTTTTAATTCTACTTTCTACAAACTTTTGATGTTGTTCTTATATACCATGACATGCTACAACTGCTGACAGTTCTTAAAACTAAACTATTCACATATTGAAAGCTGAAAATGAAGAATGTAAAATTAATTTGACAGTAATCTTCCATCTACAACACTGACTTGTTTTATAAAAAAAGTCTGCTTTTCCATATATACTGCTTTTTTTAAAAGATATATTTATTTTTATTGGAAAGGCGGATATACAGAGAGGAGGAGAGACAGAGAGGAAGATCTTCCATTTGATGGTTCACTCCCCAAGTGAGCGCAACGGCTAGAGCTGAGCCGATCCGAAGCCGGGAACCCGGAGCCTCCTCCAGGTCTCCCACACAGGTGCAGGGTCCCAAAGTTCTGGACCGTCCTCGACTGCTTTCCCAGGCCACAAGCAGGGAGCTGTGGATGGGAAGCAGGGCTGCCGGGATTAGAACCGGCAACCATATGGGATCCTGGGCGTGTAAGACGAGGACTTTAACTACTATGCTATCGCTCTGGGCCCACATATATACTGCTGCTTAGGGGCGGTGGCCATGTAGATTACATTCTGTTCTTGGAATATCTTTAGCTGTTACCAGGAATGCTTGGAGGAAGAATACTAAATTATGCCACCCCAACCCTCTGGAATGTTCAAGGTTCAGCCATCTTTCTCTTGGAAAATGTTTTGTTATCGTATATTCTAGAATATACCAGAGATAGATACTTGTCCTATTCAAAAATCTTTTGCATTGTATTCTCTCACCCTACTTTTTTGTTTAACTTTATAAATATATGTAAACATTTTTTTAAATATTGCTACGCGCTCCTCAGGAGAGTTTTTGTGAGTCACTGTGCCTTGTCTCAGAGCCTTTCACAGTCACGTGCGCGTGGGGTGGCAGAGATCTTTGATGTCAAGTTGCGTGTCTTTTCTTGCAGCTCGGCTTACCCTTCCCCTGCTTGTGCCGGGTGCCCTGTAACACGATGTTTGGATCCCAGCACCAGATGGTGAGTTTTCCTTTTGGCTTGTGAAATAATGCAGAGTTGTGTTTTGAAGCTGTGTCTTCCTTGTAGCTGCTTGTTTTAGTTTCTGCGTTGTCTGCGTGTTGGAACTTCCTTGAAGGTGTGTGTGTGTGTGGGTCAGGAACACCCGGCTTGTAAGGAATCTTCCAGTCATCACATATGACACTTGCTTTAGGTAGGAACACAGAAGCCCAATGAATACCAGAAATTCCTTCTATAGCTCTTCTCCCCGCCTCCCTTTGAGGGTGTTGCCATGCACTGGTTCACTCTCCTTAATGGCTGTAATAACTGAGCCTGGCCTGAGACAAGGGCCAGCAGCCCTGAGTCTCCCACATGGGTAGCAGGAACCCCATAATTACTGCAGCCATTGCCACTGCTTTCCAGTGTCTGCATTATCAGGAAGCTGGAGACAGGAACCGGGAGTCAAGCCTAAGCATTCCATTATGGGGCACAGGTGTCTCAACAGCCAGACTAGAGGCTTCTATTAAAACTCTTGCCTAAGTTGGCACTGCCGCCTGGATTTATGCATAGGCATATTGTGAGAATGAGGCGCCTCATCATAGTCCTGGAATTGAGTTCTGCTTATTTTTACACAAGCAGCTGGTAAACCTCTCCTTTCTGAAGCCATGAGGAAAAGGGATAGATTTGGGGGCTCTGAATTTTTGTTTTCAAGGCAGCTTCATTTTCTGTTTCAAATACATTAAAGAATAATGATAGACACTTTTTAAAAATTGCATTGAAGGTGTTGAGAGTACATTCTCTTTAAATGTGAATGTTTGAAACTAGAGAAATGTTGGCCTTGGACATGAGCAGGTTTGCTTGAATCTCTTTAATGATTTTTTCCATTTTGTCTTTCTTTATTTTTACAGATCTATTTATTTATATTGGAAAGGCAGATCAGATTTACAGAGAGAAGAGACACAGAGTTAGATTTTCCATCCTTTGGTTCTTTCCCCAAATGGCCGCAACAGCCAGAGCTGAGCTGATCTAAAGCCAGGAGCCAGGAACTGCTTCTGGGTCTCACGTGTGTGGAGGGTCCCGTAGTTTTGAGCCATTCTGTACTGCTTCCCCAAGCCAAAAGCAGGGAGTTGTATGGAAAGTGCAGCAGCCAGGACATGAACCGGAACCCATATGGGATCCTGGTGCATGCAAGGTGAGGATTTGCCCATTGAGCCGGTGTGCTGGGCTTTCTAATTGGTCTTAAAGAAAGAGTTTGGTTTGTTTTCTTTCTTTCTTTCTTTTCTTATTTTTCTTACTTACCTACCTTCCTTCCTTCCTCTTTTTCTCTCTTTATTTTTCAGTTTGATTTTTACATTGCGGCTAGAAACATTGTTAAAAACTGACATGAGAGGACCTAATATGGTAGCCTAGTGGCTAAAGTCCTTGTCTTACATGCGCTGGAATCCCATATGGGTGCCGGTTTGTGTCTCGGCGGTCCTGCTTCCTATCCAGCTCCCTGCTTGTGGCCTGGGAAAGCAGGACCCTTCATCCACGTGTGAGACCCAGGGGAAGCTCCTGGCTCCTGGCTTCGGATTGGCTCAGCTCCAGCCGTTGCGGCCACTTGGGGAGTGAATCATTGGATGGGAGATCTTCTTCTCTGTCTCTCCTCCTCTATATATATTTGACTTTGCAATAAAAATTAAATGTTTAAAAAGAAAATTTACATGAGAGTCTTAATCTGAAAGTCGTATGTTTCCTCTGTTTTTCATTGTATAACTCTTACGTGGATTGCCTCATATTTTCGTGGCTTGTTGTTTCCAGGATGTTGCCTTTCTGGAAAAGCTGATTAAAGAGGATATAGAAGCAGGACGACTGCCTCTGGTGCTTGTTGCAAATGCTGGTAGGTATTATGGGCCTGAACCTGTCACTGCAGCTCAGTAGGGCTTGTCGTGTGGGAAGGATAGTCCACACTGGGGTGAGAGGTATAGCAGTGAATTAGCTCATTACATTTAATTCTTGAATTGTTAAGGGAATTAGTGTGCGTATGCGAAAGACTTCATTTAAGTTGTTAACTGTGTCTTCACATACTTTTCCAAGCAGAATTTTTTTTAATATGATTTACCTTTTTTTTTTTTAAAGATTTATTTTATTTTTATTGGAAAGTCAGAAATACAGAGAGGAAGAGATGATTCACTCCCCAAGTGACCGCAACAGCTAGAGCTGAGCCAATCCGAATCCAGGAGCCAGGAGCCTCTTCAGGTCTCCCACGCGGGTGCAGGGTCCCAAAGCTTTGGGCCATCCTTGACTGCTTTCCTAGGCCACAAGCAGGGAGCTGGATAGGAAGCAGGGCTGCCAGGATTAGAACCGGCACCCATATGGGATCCTGGCGCATTCAGTGAGAGGACTTTAACCACTACGCTATTGCGCTGGGTCCTCTAAGCAGAATTTTTAAACACACACTTAAACAACTACCTTCTGCATAGGTCAGCTGTCACTTTCTGCTCCCTTTTACTGCTGTATTCATGTACGTGAAACTACAGGGGCTGGCGCCATTTAGACTTATTAGGCTAAATCCTCCGTCTTCTGCGTTGGCATCCCACATGTGGGCCAATTAGAGTCCCAGCTGCCCCACTCAATCCAGCTCCCTGCCTATGGCCTGGGAGGGCAGCAGAGGACGGCTCAAGTCCTGCACCCACCTGAGAGACCCAGAAGAAGCTCCTGGCCTCATCAGCTCAGCTTCAGCTGTAGAAACCATGTGGGTAGTGAACCGCTGGATGGCAGATCCCTTCGTCTGTCTCTTCTCTCTGTAACACAGCCTCTTACATAAAAGTAATTTTTTTAATGGAGGAAAAAAAATCAGTACAGAAAAAAACATGACAGTTGATTAAATGACATAGAGGTAAGGAAGGAAAAACTAAGGCTGCCTGGGTCTCGTGCCTGTGGACAGACAGTCCTAGGAAACCAGAGCTGCTGTGGCCAAGTCATGAGCCTGGCCCGACGGCTGGCTTCTTATCCGGAGCGGCAAGCAGTGCAGATTACATTTGAAATGTCATTTGTAATTACATTAGTAAGCATGGGAAGCTTATGAACAGAAAATGAGAGTGTTGCTGAGGGAAATTAATGAAAACCCAGATGTGAAATGATATGCCATATGCCTGGGCTGGAAGGCCATCGGTAATTAAATTTTCTCCACACTAATTTATTGATTTGTCTCAGTCCCTGTCAAAACATCAGTGGACTGCAGTTTTTTGTAGAGATTGATAAACTGGTTCCATAGTATGCATGGAGACACAGAAGATGTAATAGCTAAAATATTTTTGAAAAAAAAATTTTAGACACATTACCCTATGTGACTCTAAAATAGCCCATAAAAGACAACGAGAGGCATCAATGAATTGAAAATTTAGAAATGGACTCCTGTGACATATATGGTCAGTTGATTTTTTTTTTTTAAAGATTTATTTTTATTATTTTTTTATTGGAAAGGCGGATATACAGAGAGGAGAGACAGAGAGGAAGATCTTCCGTCCGATGATTCACTCCCCAAGTGAGCGCAACGGCCGATACTATGCCGATCCGAAGCCAGGAGCCTCTTCTGGGTCTCCCACGCAGGTGCAGGGTCCCAAAGCTTTGGGCCATCCTCGACTGCCTTCCCAGGCCACAGGCAGGGAGCTGGAAGGGAAGCTGGGCTGCTGGAACAGAACCAGCGCCCATATGGGATCCCGGGCGTGCAAGGCGAGGACCCCAACCACTGCACCACCGCGCCGGGCACAGTTGATGTTTTTATAATGCCAGGGTAGTTCAAGTGAGAACGCCCGGTGTTTCTCACCAGTGTCCTTGTATAATTAGATGCACAGTGGAACAAGGGCCTGCGACCTCTGACCTCTATCTCATTCTGTACATTAAAGTCCAAAGCGGTTCACAGACCTAAAACAGAAGATGATATGACTTCTGCAAGAAGACATAGGGGACTGTCGTCACTGCCTTGAATTAGAACACAAAAAACATGAATCACAAATTTTTCACTTTATTAAAGATGAAGTGCTTTTGCTAATTTATTAAAAAAAAAACTTGTTAAAATGAAATGTAAACTACAAATGGGAGAAATATTTTTCCAAAATTTGTCTCTTAAAAAAAAAAGATTATTTACTTAAAAGAGTGAGAGATTGTCCATGTGGGTGACTCCCTCACTGGCTGCAGCAGCTGGGCTTGGCCAGGCCCAACGCCGGAGCCTGAAACTGGGCCATCCCTTGTGTAGGAGCGGGGAGCGGGATTGCAAGGGGTGCAGCCTGGTCATTCACATGGCGTGCCAGTGTTGCAGGAAGTAGCTCAACCCGTGTCGGAACACTGGCCGCCTCGGCTGAAGGGATAGTTCATCTAACAAGTCTTCCACTTTGCCGCACCAGCATCCCACATGGGCACTGGTTCTAGTCCCAGCTGTTCTGCTTCTGATCTAGCTCCCTGCTTGTGGCCTGGGAAAGCAGCAGAGAATCCTCCATGTGCTTGGGCCCCTATATCCACATGAAAGGCTTCTGGCTTTGGATCAGTTCAGCTCCGATTTGTGCTGCCATTTAGGGAGTGACTCAGTGGACAGAAGACCTTTCTCTCTGCCTTTCCTTCTCTTTGTAAATCTGCCTTTCTGATAATAAATAAATCTTAAGAAAACAAAAGCCTGGCATGTTGGCCTAGTGGCTAAAAGTGCTCGCCTTGAACACACTGGGATCCCATGTAGACACCGGTTGTATCCTGGCAGCCCTGCTTCCCATCCAGCTCCCTGCTTGTGGCCTGGGAAAGCAAGGGAGGACGGCTCGGTGCCTGGGGACCCTACCCCCACGTGGGAGACCTGGAAGGAGCTCCTGGTTCCTGACTTTGGATCAGCTCAGCTCTGGCTGTTGTGATCACTTGGGGAATGAATCATTTGACGGAAGATCTTCCTCTCGGTCTCTCCTCCTCTCTGTATATCTGACTTTGCAATAAAAAATTAAATATTTTTTTTAAAAAAGTGAAACACTGGCCCCCCAAACATTTTTCTAACCAAAAAACTTGTATCCAAAATGTATAGAAACTTCACCTCTGTAATAAGGAGATAATACAGTTTTTAAAATGAATGAGAGATTTGGACAGTTCACCAAAGAATGTATATATAAATGTGTAAGTACTTGCAAAGTCTTAACAACATTATTCATTAGAGAAATACAAATTAAAGCTACAATAAAATATATTTATGTCTGATAGAATGGTTTGAATAAAAAACACAGAACCAGGCCTGGCGCAATAGCCTAGTGGCTAAATCCTGCCATGGTTTTTGGGCTGTCCTCTGCTCTTTCCCAGGCACATTAGTTTCAGGTCTCAAACCCTGCCCTTGTTGGATGCTATCATTGCAGGTGTAGCTTAACTTGTGCCATAACTCCAGTCCCTGCCTCTCTGCCTTCCAGGTAAATACAAATGATTCAACAGCCCACATCATTTTGGAAATAAAATTGGAAGATTTTACTTTATCTGACTTTAAAGCCAAAGATAATCAAAACCCTATAAGAATAAGCAAAGAAAAAGAGAATTGAGAAGTAGGTTCATGTGACAAAGAGGTGATTGTGGGGCTGCAGTTGGCATGTGACTGCCTTACAGTCACACAGTAGACATGCGGGGGGTTAGTCAGCAGCCACTGCCAAGAAGTATGGACTGGAATCTGAATGTGGGCTGGTCACTAAAACCCAGCACTGTGCACAGAGGGTCCTGTGGCACAGCCTGGACACAGGCACTGAGTCTTGTTTCAAGTAAGCTTCCTTTCTAAGTCTGTCCATTTTGTTTTGTTTGGTTGAAGGATAAAATTTTCAGCCATTTTCCTGGCATACACTTTGCAAAAAAAAAAAAAAATTCACGCTGTGTTTATTCAGGCAGTTCATGAGAGTTTGAAATGTTACTAATTGGGTTTTTGCTAACTGGAAACTTAGGCACGGTCAGAATGGGTGATTCCGGATTTAAGTTCTCTCTGAGAAGCGGTCTGCCCAGCAGCTTGTGGAGGACAAGTGATCATGTGGGGTGGGAGCGGGGCTTGATATGAGTGTGTTTAAACTGGCTTCAGAATGCACACAGATTCTATGTTAACCTGTGGGACAAGAACCCAGTTTCATCTATGGGTTTTTACACAGGACACACCTAAGTGAAAACACATAGTAAGTGACACTAAAATAAAAGATTGGGAAATGAAGTACTCTACTCTGGTGGCGCTGGGGTTGGATGCATCGCTCGCTAGAGGAGAGAAGTTATGGATGCTTCTGAGCACCGCTAAAGGAAAAGCACGGAGGAGGGCGGGCGTGGAGTGACACCTCACAGTGTTGGTGAGAGGCCTGAGTGTGTTCGTGTAATGAAGGATGCGCACCCTTCCAAACAGGCACAAAACAGCTTGCAAAAGTTAATCTTAAGTCAGTCCACAAAGAAGATCACATAAGATAAGGATAAAATACTGTGCTTCCTCACAGGGAGGAGATCGTGTCTATAAAAACCTGCATGTTGTAAAAGGACTCAAATATTTGTTCTTTCAGTATCCTTATTTGTTCTTTCCTAGGAACTGCAGCAGTGGGTCACACGGACAAGATTGGCCGTTTGAAGGAGCTGTGTGAGCAGTACAACATCTGGCTTCACGTGGAGGGGTGAGTAGGCGCTGCACTTGGGCATCATGCCAAGCAGACGTCCAGGCTCACACTCTGCAATGGTCGTTACCGATTGAGCTCTTGGGACCGCGGATAACAGAACACCCACCCCGGTGGGCTTAGCTGAATGGGATTCCATTGACTCATATAATTAGAAAGACCAGTGTTAGGAACAGCTTTTGGCACGATGTTAGCCATGATTCAGTGTCTGCTTCCCTTCCCTCTTCTGCCCATGGTCGCTGGGCTTGCTGGCCTCCGTGTTGACGCTGATGGACTTGGGTGTGTTGGGGGCAAAGCAGCTGTAAGAACTAAAGCCTTCTTGGCATGCTCATTTTCACTGAGGGAAAAGTCCAGCGAAGGTCTAGGGAACCAGTTCCTGTGGCCGGAGAGGGGCGTTCTCTGCTAGCCTAGGCTGTGTCCACCCGTGCAGTGGCTGGTGGTAGCTCCTCTAACCAAAACGTGAGATGTGATTGTGGGGATGCGTGGTTTCCCAGAAGGCCGTTGGCTGTCATTGAGAGGGCAGGGGAGAGGGCCAACCACCATGAGTGTCTTTTTTTCTCTAAGACTTACTGTATTTATTTAAAAGGCAGAGCTACAGATAAAGAGGGGGAGAGGGAAAGAGATCTTCCATCTGTTGGTTCATCCCCCAGATAGCCGCAATGGCTGGTGCTAGGCCAAGCCAAAGACAGGAGCTTCTGTGTCTCCCACACAGGTTCAGGAGCCAATCTTAGAACTTAGGCTGCCCTTCGCTGCTCTGCTAGGCCATCAGCAGAGAGCTGGATCAGAAATGGAGAAGCCAGAACTCAAACTGGTGCCTGTATGAAGCAGCACTTCAGGCGGCTGCGTAATGCACTATGCCACCCTGAGCCTTTCCTGTTTATTCCTTGGGGAAAAAAATGGATAACCAGAAAGTAGTTGTGGTGACACATATGGGCTAGTATATTCATAATACCTGATAAGGAGAGACACCCCGGAAAGACATTTGGATTAAAATGCCTTTCCAAGGTTCTCCTGACACTTACACAAACCACAACTTCCAATGCTGTTATAAAAGCACAGCTGAAAGACTTAGATGTCAACTTGCAGTGGTGTAGTCTTATTTTTTTTTTTAATATGTACTCAGTAAGTCACAATAAATAACCAGTTCTTAGACAGGTGTTTTTTCTTCCAGCGTGAATCTGGCAACATTGGCTTTGGGTTATGTCTCCTCATCAGTGCTGGTATGTTGTTGGTTTACTGCATATTAGTGTTTTTCAGAATAAACGTAGTCACTCGATTCCTGGTGGCTTTGTATAGGTGCTGGGTTAAGCGTATTCTGATAATCTAACAAACAGCTCCCCTCCTCTCCGTAGGCTGCAACCAAGTGTGACAGCATGACGCTGACTCCTGGCCCGTGGCTGGGTTTACCAGCTGTTCCTAACGTGACGCTGTATAAGCATGATGACCCTGCCTTGGTGAGCGCACGGGTGGGTGGGAGGGAGGAAAAATAAAGGAAAAAGTATCCTCAGTTCCATTTCTGCTACATTAAAAAAAATTGCCACAAATGACATTATACCCCTTTATATCTCTGTTACAGAAATAGTGAGATGATGAGTATCTTTTGAATTTTTAAATTATTTCATTAGAGTAGATTTTCAAAAGTGGAATTACTGAGTGGAAGTATTTCATAGCTCTTAGGCTGTGTTGTCCAATAGGTTAAAACATGTTTGTTTTAATTGGTTTGTGTGATGGACATGCAAACCACGCTGGAAGCAATGACTAGTAAGACAGTTGCTGAAGTCTTACTCCGTGGATCATGGGCCCGACCTGGGAGGGGCTGCCTTGGAATGCCAAGAGCCCCAGCCTTCCACCTGCATCTTTTATTGCCTCTCAGCCTACAGAGTTGAGAGGACAGAGGGAGAGAGCTTTCATCCACTCTACAAATGGCCAGGCCAAAGTCAGGATCTCAGAACCTCAGTCCCGGTGTGCCACTCTCTTCTGCTTTCCCAGGTCGCAGTGGCAGGGAGCTGGATGAGAAACGGAGCTGCCAAGATTCCAAGCCAGCACCCGTGTGGGGTGCTGGTGTTAACAGGCAGAGGTTTACCCGCTCTAGCACAGCTGGTTCCTCTATCCGTGTTTTCTTCCTGGCTTTACCACTCCATAGTTGTGTCACCTTGGACAAGCAACGTGTGTAAGCAAAGCTGTGTGGAGTACTTTATCCGTGGAGTTGTTAGATCAAAGGGATGGCACACACCAGGGTCTAACATTGGATTTGTCACAGAGCAGGTCTTCAGTAAATGGTGGCTCATTAGCTCTGTTAGATTTCAGTGCCTTTAACGAATAAACTCATGTTGTTGTTTTAAGACTTTAGTTGCTGGTCTCACATCAAATAAGCCATCAGACAAACTCCGTGCCCTGCCTCTCTGGTTATCTTTGCAATATTTGGGACTTGATGGGACCGTGGAAAGGATCAAGCATGCCTGTCAGTTGGTGAGTAGAAGTCTGAGGTTCAGATGAGTTGTAAAAATGGTATGGTGAAAGCGGAGATGGAAAATGCTGTCTTATTATGTACCCTCTTTTCATCCTCATTGTCAGGATCTGCCACCTCCCTCGCAGGTGGACCAACTGCCTTGCCTATAAATGGTGCTTGTTTAAACTTCTGGGAGAAACTCTGGGGTTCTCCCAGCGTTTGTGCCCAGATGCAGTGAGATTGAAATGAAAGCCGCGGTCAGCACGGGATGAGAAGCCAAGGCACAGCATGGGGGGCAGGAGCAAATCGGGACGTCGACGTTTGCTACAACTGACTGACCTTGCAGACCGAGGGAGTGGGAAGGCTAGCGCTCACTGGCAGGTGGCGTGGGTATCTTTAACACTAGCTGACTTGGGTTCCCAAATCGCAGGGCTCTAGGAGTCTGTTCTGATTCTCTTCCTGTTTGAGTTGTACCAAGTGTGAAAAATGGAGGGTTATGCCGTGGTTTAGTCTTAGTCCATTTGGACTGGATAATTTATAAACAACAGAAGTTGGTTGCTTCTGGGTGTGGAGGCTGTGCAGCCCTGGGTAAGACACCAGTTGATTGGGTGTCCGAGATGGTCCCCGTGTCCCCGTGTGCTGAAAGGGGTAGGTCCACTCCTGTCATGCCTCCAGAGGCAATTCTGGGCAAATAGAAAAATTCAGACTATACCCCCCCTTTTTATTCCTTTAGAAAGGAAAAAAATATAAGACCAGATTTGTACAGTGTGAGGCAAGCCTCTTCCTCAGGACAGCAGCGTGATGTCACATCTAGACAGCTCCATTCTCTTACCTGTGAAATAGGAACCGTGATGGAAGATTGTTACACAAGGACTTAAGCTCCTGCAGTGGTCCTGACCTTACATGATGGGATATGAAGTGTGTGGGAAATGGAACTGGGGTAAATGTGTTTGAGTGTCACAGTTTTTTTCAAATTCATGTAGGTTAAAAGAGTGACAGAGACCTAGAGAAGTCAGAAAGCTTTTATCTGCTCATTTGCTCCCCAGACAGCAGATGGCTACAGCAGCTGGGGTTGTAGCTGGGGCCAAAACCAGGAGCAAGGGACTTTTTTTTGGATAAAGATGTATTTACTTTTTTCATTGGAAAGTCAGATTTACAGAGAGCATGAGAGAAAGAAAGAGCTTTCTTCCGCTGGTTCACTCCCCAAGTTGCCACAATGGCCAGAGCTGAGCCAATTCGGAGCCAGGAGCCAGGAGCCAGGAGCTTCTTCCAGGTCTCCCACAGGGGTGCAGAGTCCCAAGGCTTTGGGCCGTCCTCAGCTGCTTTCCCAGGCCACAAGCAGGGAGCTGGATGGGAAGCAGAGCAGCCAGAATACGAACTGGTACCCATATGGGATCCCAGCGCATACAAGGTGAGGACTTTAACCACTAGGCTTCTGTGCCAGGCCCAAGCCAAGGATTTTGTCATGTATCCCACATAGGGCAGGGGTCCAAGTACTTGGGTTAGGGTTACCTTTCATTGCTTTCTAAGGTGCTAAGCCAGAAGCAGAACAGACGGGATTCAGACTAGCACACCGCTCTGGGGTGCTGGTGTCACAAGCTGCAGCTTCACCTACTGTGCCATGATGCCAGCACCTGTGTATGGAATGTGCCATACACATATTCCATAAACTTTTTGGAGATTCATTTGTGTATGTTATACATATATATTTACAACTTCATTTTAAGTATATCGTTAGAAAATTGATACTTTCATGTTATTTTTATAGTTAAGAAAAATTAGTAATTTTATGTAGCTTTATTAGAGGTCCCTAGGTTTATGATGCTGTTAGGAGAGTTTGTTTTTTGTACATTAATATTTTTAAGGTTTATATTTACAGAAGCCCCTCGGTTTTAGAAATATGCTGTCGTTGTTGACAGCCGCATGTTGTGTTGCTCTCAGGTCAGTCTGTATTGCCATAATAGTTTGATCAATTTAAGGAAGATTTGGACACCCAAGGGAGAGATTTTCAATTCCCTTTGGCCTGTGGGGTGCAGGAAATAATGACGACATTGACTACTAGGTCCTTGGGGTCTCCACAGCTCGGGCGTTTCTCTCACGTCCTCCTGAGGACTTGAACGGTAACCTCCTCCCAGCATCACTGTGTTAAACACACATCCTGAGATGCCCATTCCTGCCTTACAGTCCATGCTAGACCACACGTTCCTGAGAGCAAAAGCAGTGTTCTGGTTTTCCTTCTCTTATCACCATCTTCATGGGTGACATTTGCTGAGCATTTGTTTACTTAGTTCCAAGGTATTTTAATGCCTTGCCTTAAGTGAATGCCACAACTTTACTAGAATGTAAGATCCGCTGATGATAGTGAATGAAAAATTAGTTGTCATGAAGAGTTTTCTGATGTCCAGCCCTCAGGGAATGTGGTTGGATAGCGATACCCCAATGCCGTGAGTTAACCTTCATTAGCTCCTGTCAGTGATGCAGGACCTGGGGCTGAGACTCTGAGAGTGGTGGTGGCGGTCTGTGTGATGTACACTGTTCTCAACACTTATGTACGGGGAATCGTCTTCACAGTATCCTTTTAAGACAGATGCTGTCATTTCCATGTTTGTAGTTAAAGGATTTGGGCGCAGAGATGTGGTAACTGTTACGTGGCAGCTGAATTGCTCCACCGTGCCCCTGCGTGTGCTAGTTGACAGAGCCATGTTCTTAACTAGCTCTTGAGCCAGCTCTCATATTTGCTCCTAGTGAGTTTTAATTTTATTTTGATTGTATGTTAAAGGCCGAGACAGAGAGCCTCTGTTGCTTTCCATCTCCCTGTAAATGACTGTGACAGTCAGAGCTGGGTCAGGTGGAAGCCTGGAGCTCCAACTACACCTGTGCCTTCCGTTTGGGCAGCAGGGAGCCATCCACCTGCTGCCTCCTGGAGTGTGTACCAGCACGCAGCTGGGAGCGGGACACCTGGCACTTGAACCTGGACACTCCAGTAGAAGATCTGGGCTCCCCACGTGGCAGTTTAGCCATGCCCCAGTGCCCACCCTGTACTTACTAGTCGCAATGTCCCATGCCTTGTTGAGAATCAGTACAGGTATCCTAGAAGGAGAAAGAATGGGAAATATTTTCACAAGTTCAGATGTAAAAATTGTTTCTCAGACTTAGCAGTTGCAGGGTTGCAGCGGGCTCTGCCTGCCTGTGGTCCTGTCTGTAGGATGCAGAAACTCGGGAAACCACTGAATATTTGTGTTTAATGAAATTAAAAGCTTTTTTTTTTTTTTTTTGTCATTTGCAGAGTCAGCGATTACAGGAAAGTCTGAAGAAAGTAAACCACATCAAAATTTTGGTATGGAAAATAATTTCATCCATCTAACTTCAACAGTTTAGAATTTTTTTTCCCCAGAAATGAGACATTTCTGTGGAATTATGGCAGTTCTGTGAAGAACGCTTTTTTGGGAGAAAGTTTATGAGCTAATTATGCAGCTTCCCTGAATTAAGACACCTGTCTTCCCGGAGTGAAAAAAATCATTGGCTATCTCGGAGCATTTGGTGCTGCTTTTCTGAAACCGCCCGACGGCAGCTTTCTGTCCGTTTGCACCAGGAGGGGTGAGGACAAGAAAGCAAGTGTCCCCGCTCTTGTTTTCTGCTGAAATGCATCTCCAAGATGGTCCTCTGGGGACCCCAGCTAGACAGGAAGCAAGGGTTGGCAGCACTCGCAGCCAAGGGTGCGTGTCAGCTTTTGTTGAGTCGAATTTTCATTGTAGCATTGCAGGAATATGTAGGTCAGATTCAGATTTAAGTAGTTTTCTCATAGTCCTCCAGGGTAAAGTTCAGTTACATATTTTGAGTTTTGGGTGCAAGTTGGTGTAGTTCCTTTGGTTGTTTTTTGGTTTGTTTTAGTTTTTTCTTTTCTTTTTTTCTTTCTTTTTGACAATCTTTACATAGCTGATTAGAACTATGGTTTCCACATTATTGCTTATTTTTTTGTCTGTATCTGGGGTGAAGGGGGAGATAAAGGGAAATCCCCACACAGCCTCTCACCCATGCCAGGTCCCCGATGTGGGGCATGCGCTGCTCAAGTGGTTTTGATAATTCAACAGTTATGAATTGCTGCCAGTCTCACCATTCAAAGTACAGTGAAATCGCTGAAGAATCCGCTGGTTGACATAGTCCACCTTGGCGTCTCCATTTGCCCAGATTTTCACTGGCAACACGTGGCTGGGGTAGTTGATCGATTTGTTATGTCCTCCATCCTCTGTTTTAGTTTATTTCTTTAAAGTCTATTTATTTGAAAGGCCAACAGATAGGAAAGAGATCTTGCATCTGCTGGTTCATTCTCAGAATGCACACAGTAGTAGCCAGGGCTGCACCATGCTGAAACCAGGAGCCAGGAATTTAAGCCATTTCTGCCACATGGATGGTGGGAACCCAAGTACTTAGGGCTTCAAGGGCTGACTCCCAGGTGCTTTAATGGGAAGTTAGATCCAAGGCATGAGACAGTCACACCGGCAGGCCAGTTTAGGATACGAGAATCCCAAGGGGTGACTTAACCCCCCATGCCACATACCCACTCATGGCTTTTGTTTTAGAACCTGATTTGCTTTAGGGAAGAGCTTGGAGCCAGTTGAGCCGAGTGTTGGCTGGGGAACTGTGCCAGTTGGGAGACTGGGGTCCTGCTCTGAGCAGTGTCACAGCGTTGCCCTGGGCCATTGAGTCGTTCTCTCAGCCTCCTGAGCCTGTGTACTCAGCTTGCAGAGGGGACTAGAAGGGGCTGGCTGTTCCTCAGGATGGGGCTGGGCGCTCTGCTGTCCTGTTGCCACCACTGCTGTTCCCCACACCCCGTGTCCTCCCACCTCTTCCCCCAAGGAGAGGGATACTGCTCACCAGTGGCCTGGGAGCAGCTTCCCCAGGCCGCACATGGACGGGCAGGGGTTCTGCCCAGTCCTCCCTCCAGTGGCTGTCGTGTTTGTGCAGTCTCATTGTCCTCGCCATGGCAACTGCTGCTGGTGACAGGCTGCCTAGGTACGTCCCACGGGGTACTCCCTGCAATCCCATGACCATCTCCTTCATACACGCTCTTCCCTCTGCAAACGTGTTCCCTGTCCTCCAGGCTTCTCCTGACTTGCTTTCTGTCTCAGGTTTTAGTTCAGATATGACCTCTTTTTTTTTTTTTCAAAGATTTATTTACTTATGTTGGAAAGTCAGATATAAAGAAAAGAGGAGAGACAGGAGGAAGATCTTCCGTCCGATGATGCACTGCCCAAGCGGCTGCAACAGTTAGAGCTGCGCTGATCAGGAGCTCGGAGCCTTTTCCGGGTCTCCCACACAGGTGCAGGGACCCAAGGCTTTGGGCCGTCCTCAGCTGCTTTCCCAGGCCACAAGCAGGGAGCTGGATGGGAAGCAGGGCACTGGGATTAGAACTGGTACCCATATGGGATCCCAGCGCATACAAGGTGAGGACTCCAGCCACTATTCCACTGCGCTGGGCCCTAAATGTAACCTCTTGAGAAGGGCCCTGCCTGTCGCCCTGTAATAACCTCCCCCACCATCTGATCCTCTGTGCTGGGCTTACTGCTTCCTCCTTACACTTCCTGCTGTCTAAATCAGATCGCATGTTCATTGTTGTTTCCTGTAAAAGCTTTGCAGAGGGTTTATGCAGACTCTCTGCTGCCCCTCTAGTGGCCGCAGAGCCCCCAGAGCCGAGCCCTGGGCACCGGGGTCAGGGGCCTTTGCGCGCCCTCCCCTGCTGCCCAGCTCTCTCAACTAGGTACTTCCTCCTCTGTCTGCAGTCGCTTTATTGTGAAACTATCAGTGGGTTAAAACTTTGCTCGGTTGTCAGCATATTTAATCCAGATCTTAGGTATTTAAATTGGCCATCTTAGTGTTTGCTCAGTCACTGGGGCCCAAGTGTTTGTGGAACCCTGTACCATGTCCCCCACCTGGTCCCTTGGGCAGGTAGTTTTTGAGCCCTTGAGTTCAAAGAAGGACGATGATCACCACTGCAGGAGCCTTTGCAAGTCTGGACTCCCAGTCACCCTGCTTCATCCTGAGGGTCTGCCTTTTAAGTCCTATTTGCTTACCGATATTCCTCACTATTTAAATATTAAGCTATAGTTTAATGAGAAGGAAATGACAGATGTGAAAGCATATAGCACAGGAACTAGCTCAGTTAATAATGGACCAATTTAGATATAAATCTTGCTTGATTTGAATCACATCCCCACAGTCTTTTCAAATTAGTAAAAAAAAAAAGTGGAGCCAGCTACTTCCTGTCTTTGCTGATTGCCGTTTCCTGTCCTCGCCCTCTGTGTGAGCACTGCAGCCCAGGTTTTACAACTGGAACTGCAGTGCCGCTTTGGTTGAATGCCTGGAAGCCTGTCCCCCAGCACTGAGCTGCCCTGCCACCCCAGTCCCCCTCATACCGCTGAGCCTGCGGGGGGCCTGGCTGCCCCCGAGCCCCGAGTGAAGCTGACTGCCGGCTGTACACTGCTCCGTGCCGCGTCACAGCAGCGCAGGGAGCGTTTTCATCTGAGTTAGGGAACTCATTACTGAGGTTGCCTGTCTTCCATATTGATTATGTTATAAAATAGTCCTCGGCTGTTGCTACCTGCATTGCCAGCAGGACTGCATCCTGTGCTGAAATTTGTACAACAGTCTCTGAGCACTGGCCCTCAGCGCTGAGCCCAGCTCTGCTTTTTTCTTGCCTTTTTGAGCTTTGAGGTCAGGCCTGTGTCCTGCTCACGGGGTTCGGTCTCCTGCTGCTGCAGTGCCAGCTAGTGTCCCGTAGGCTTCATGTGATCCACGGCGGCTTGCAGTCACACCTGAAAATTGTTGCAAAGCGCTTGCTGGATTTTTGTCTCTCTAGCAACTGAAATTAACCTTTGACCTGTGTGATGTGCTTATAGAACAGAACATCTGTAGTGTCTTTCCCAAGTGCAGCAGTTTGTCTTGTGGATGTTGGAGCTGAATGTTGCTGGGTGACACCAGGCCTCCGCTTTTGCAGGTGGAGGATGAGCTCAGCTCCCCGGTGGTGGTCTTCAGATTTGTGCAAGAGGCATCAGGTACAGGTAGGTGATCTTTAAAAGGGTTAGTTTTGTATCTGTTTATGGGCTTTGAATGTGATTCCATTTCAAATCAAGTTAAGCGGATAGAAAAATATCTTTATTGCTAAAATCTTCGGGCATTATTTCAGAAAAAGTGAGCATTTCTCACAAGGACTTCCCATCCTACGTGCCTGAATGCAGTGCGTAGGCTGAGTTACTGCGAGTTGCAGATTCTTGGATTCTACTCTGCATATGTTCTGATTCAATAGTTGGATCCAGGAAGCTCCAGTTTTAACGGCTGTTGTGGCTAAGTGAGTTAAGCCTCCACCTGCACCAGCAGTGTCCCATATGGGCAGTGTTTTGAGTCCCAGTTCATGCATTTCTGATTAGCTCCCTACTAATGTCTAATGCACTTGGGAAAAACATAGAGGACACCCCACGTGCTCAAGCCCCCGTATCCACATAGGAGGCCAGGATGAAGCTGCTGGCCCCGTTCTGGCCATGGCGGCCATTTGGAGAGAGCACAACCGATGAAAGGCCTCGGTCTCTCTCCCTCTTTTTCTGTAGCTCTACCTTTCAAGTAAATTAAGGAAAAAAAAAAAATGTCCCAACCTAGTCCAGGGCCTAGTATTTTTCACATGGATGGCCAGTCTCCTCTCAGCTGCTTTCCAACTTCTCTACAACTATGCCTATTCCAGAATCTTCTCTGTGAGTGAGCGTTACAAGTAGACATCCCAGATAGCTCCTATCTGCCCCCCGAGTCCCGGGATTCCTCCGTGTCCCCTTGCTTTGCCTGCTGCACCCACCCAGCTGGCTGGCCTGCGTGTGCCTGCCCGGCCCTCCTCTCGGACTTATTCCCCTCCAGCTCTTTGTGCTTAAGCCAGACTGCTGTGCGCTTGCACAGCTCTGCTTCTTCCTGGTCCCTCTGTTTCTGATCCATTTCTGCTTGTTCTTCCGGCTGCCGCGTCAGAGGACCACCCCGCCCGGCCTGGCTGAAAGGGCCCCGCCGCCTTGTACAGAGCCCCTGCCTCCTCTTGCGGCCCTGACAGTAACCCAGGAGTGTAGAGGTTTTATTTTCCTTGTGTTTGTTCAGTGAGAGTGTCACCTCCAGACTGAGAAAACCTCCTCAGGTCTCCATCCCTGGTGCTTGGTCTGCGTGAGCATAGAGTGGAGCACCTGACTGGAGGGCTCGTGGCCCCAACAGTCCGCACAGTGCTAGCTAGCCTGCCTGGTACACATTTGATTTGATTTTTCTTCCAAATTCTATGTAAGGAAACTTTTTAAATTTTTTGTTAAAGATGTATTTATTTTATTGGAAAGGCAGATTTACAGAGAGAAGAGACAAAGGTCATCCACCCACTGGCTCACTCCAAGTGGCCGATCTGAAGCTAGGAGTCTCCTCAGGGTCTCCCACGCGGGTGCAGGGTCCCAAGGCTTTGCACCATTCTCAACTGCTCTCCCAGGCCACAAGCAGGGAGCTGCGTGGGAAGTGGAGCAGCCAGAATTAGAACTGGCGCCGGGCCCAGAAAGCTTTTTTTAAAAATTGATATGCACACTAGCTTTGTGTAAATGTATTCAAGTGCTCCATGAGGTAGCCAGTTCAGGGACCTGTGAGGCAGTTCCCTGGGGCGGGGCTGGGCTCTGGATTCTGGGAGTGCATCTGCTGCCTGTGTGTTGACCTCAGGTCCGGTATTTAAAGCTGTCCCTGGGCCCAGCCTGGCACCTGCGGCCGTCGGCCGGGAGAGGCACTCCTGTGATGCGCTGAATCGCTGGGTAAGGAGGGCAGCTGGGCCCTTCCCCTCAGCATCGGGCTGAACACCCCCGGCCCTGGTGGGCAGGAAACTTGGGACTTACTCTGGGGTCTGTTCGCTTCACACCCCGCGGCTCTCCAGGCGTCTGTGAATCATTGCCTCAGTTTCCTCCTGAGACCACTCCTTACTGCTAGTATGACAATCTGTGAGCAGAGGGTGTCCCGGCACAAGGCCACGTGCCCAGACACCCTTGGCAAGATTCGGCAGCTCTTCTGACCCTGACGTGCTGCCTAGAGAGGGTGGTACCCCGGGGGACGATGTTCACCACAGCAGTGGCAGTCCCAGCAGCAAGTTGGAGGTGACGAACACATCGGTGTGGTGAGGGAGCCATGGAGTTCTTGGAGACAGTAGGGCTGTGTGGTTAGCGCCGCGGGGAACGGCCTTCGTGGTTGCTGTGACACGGCACACATGTAGAAGCCATGGGTTCTGGTGACCAGCAGCAGCCCCCTGCAGCAACCCCCAAGGGAAGCAGCTGGGAGAGTGGTCCACCACGTCAGCAGTGGGTGTCAGAGTGACGAGATGGGGGGTTTTCTTCTGTCTTACCTGTATTCCCTGGGTTTGCCTAGAGTGAACTTCTAATTTTAGTAAGGAGTAATTTGCAAAAACCAACAATCTGGCTCTCCGAGAGCTGCTGGCTTGGGCGCAGTGAGGGTTGGTGGGCCTCACTGGGCATGTGCTCACACCCGCTTCTCCTTGCAGCTGGGGGAGCAGCTGAAACAGCTCGTGCCAGCCAGCGGCCTCACCGTCATGGACCTGGAAGCTGAGGGCGTGTGTGTGCGCTTCAGCCCTTTGATGACAGCAGCAGGTATTTAGTGCGGATGCCCCTCCCTCTGCCGTGTCCTCATCTCCTCCAACTTCTGTTTTTCAAAGGGACTTTTCTCTGCTTTGTACTAAAGTGAGATGAGTGTTTCCATGTTCCTTCTTTTATTTTAAACTGCGGTTCCAGCTGAGTATTGTGGTACATATCTATTTATACACAGACACATTTTATGTAGCTCGTGTAAGTGGAGACGCAGGAATGCTGGGCTAGCTCAGGAGTGCCGTGGGATGTGTGTGCAGAGGCTGCAGGACCTGGGACTCCGCAGCTGCGCTCACTGCCCCACTCCTTGGAGCGTTTCTGACACTGAGCATTTTCAGTTGTAGGGACTCGGGCAGAGGATGTGGACCAGCTTGTCACCTGCATACAGAGCAAGCTGCCAGTGCTGACCTGCACTCTGCAGCTTCGAGAAGAGTTCAAGCAGGAAGTGGAGGCAACAGCAGGCCTCCTGTATGTTGATGACCCTAACTGGCCTGGCATAGGGGTTGTCAGGTAAAGTTGCAGCTTCTCAACTGTGCTGTGTAAAGATCGTGGGTGGGTCATTTTGTGAACCAGCTTAGGAATCCAAGGTGAGGCTGTGCAGGAGTGACCTCGGCCTGTGTGTGCACGGCAGCACAGTACAAGCAGCCGTGAGCCCAGGGACGGCCCTCGGGTCCCAGTGACCACATGCACCAACCTAGACGCCTGCGAGGAGTAAAGGTGGATTTATGAGGGAACTTCGTAGAGTTCATGGGGAAAATGGTATCATAAATTTTAGGGGCTGGCAGTGTGGCACAAGTTAAGCTGCCACCAGAGAAACTGGCATTCCATATGAGCACCAGTTCAAGTCCCTGCTTCTCTGCTATGATTCATCTTCCCACTAATGGGCCCAGGAAGGCAGTGGATGATGGTTCAAATGCTTGGATCCATCCCATCCCATGGGAAGCTCAGATGGAATTCCAGTTTTCACTTACCCTGTAGCCATGTAGTCATTTGGAGAGTGAACCAGCAGATAAACTCTCTCTCTTCCTTCTCTAATTTTGCCTTACAAGTCTTTTTTTTTTTTTTTTTAAGTTGGTGAAGTTTTGACGTCCATCCATAGCTTTTTTTTGCAATAAGCATTTTAAAGAGCCCAGTTCCTAGAGAGGCAGAGCACCACTGTCCCTAGCTTCTGTGGTTGCCTCCTGTGGCTGGGGCCACTCCCCACTAACGATGGGGCAGGTCATCTTTTTCAGTGAAAGCGTCGGTCAGAGGCAGGAGCCTGGGCTCTGGTGGGGGCAGGGATGCAAGCAGCTGCTCCCCACCCCTGCGTCCCAAGAGCCAGGCACTCGTGCATGGGAGATGTGCAGTCCCCAGCAAGGTCAAACCCCCAGCCCTGGAAACTTTTTTTTTTTTAGTGCAAATAATGGGCTTCCGGCCCTGGAGACCCAGGCTGAGGTCCTGGGGTCACTGGCCTGTGCGCATTTGCCTCCGCGCCCACACTCATGCTATCAGCTGGTATTCCATCTGTGGGTAATCCTGCATTTGGAGATATTTGATCTTTTAGATGAAAATACCATTGATTGATGCCGTTTGTAGATATGAACATGCTAACGATGATAAGAGTAGCTTGAAATCTGATCCAGAGGGAGAGAAAATCCATGCTGGACTCCTGAAGAAGTTAAATGAACTGGAATCTGACCTTGCATTTAAAATGGGTAAGTGCTGCCTCTCTGTCACCTGTGGACTGACGAAGGACATTTTCTGACTGGCCCCACAAAAGAGGATTTTCTCTCTGGCTTAGTCCCTGTTTAGGTGCAGTCCTCTTCCCACCCCTGCTTTGGGGGGGCTCTCCCTCTCCTCCGCAGAGGTCTTTTCCTCCTCACACTGTAGCCTGCAGCCGCCTGCTGACTGTGCAAGGGAGTGGGCCTGAGTCTCAAGGGACTTGAGAAGCAAGCATGCCTGTCTGTCATCTCTTCTGCAGGCCCTGAATACAAAAGCATGAAGAGCTGCATTTACATTGGCATGGCGAGCGACGACATCGATGTTTCTGAGCTAGTAGAGACCATTGCAGTCACAGCCCGGGAAATTGAAGAAAACTCAAGGGTAAGACTGATCGGTGTTTCGTTGCTTCTCTGGTTTTCACCCGCCCAGCTTGCTGGGGTCATGGGGGAAGAAGCTACCACTGGAACAGCTGTTCATCCGCTCTTCAGCAGCAAGTTCATGAATGTCCCTGTGAGCGGGCTTGACAGAGTGCCCAGCGCCGGGGTCAATGCACGCAACTGCTGGGGTGGCCCGGCCACATCAGGGGAGGTTTCCTTAGGGGAGCTGACTGAGGCAGACAAGCATTGCCAGAGAACACGCTAACAGACCTGCTTGCCAGCCAGTGCCTCGAAGGGTAACCCCCAGACTGCAGTCTGCTTCCCCAGAGACCCCCGGAGAGGGGAGGAAAGGGGCTGCAGTGAGTCTGGTCCGAGGAGTGCGTGTCATGTCTCCCCTTTGGGTAGAATGGGAAAGAGAAGGAAATCTGAAGGAGGCTGAGGAGCCAACTTGCTTCACTCTTGCGTTTCTTCTAAACCTCCTGCAAAGGTCCTTAAAAAGTTTGTGGAAAATAGAATTAAACATACTTGTATTGGTGCAAAAAAAAAAAAATCTGAAATCCATGCATACAAAGGTTCTTCAGAAAGTCCTTGAGAAGGCATACTATGAAAGAACTTTGCATGAACTTAGAATGTTTTGCACCAAGTTCCCGCCCTGGGACTTCAGACCCTCCACGAGCAGTGAGCCTGTTTTCTGTGGACAGAGCACGCAGGCTCTCCTCGTTCCTCTGTGTCGCCTGGAGGGTAAGGCTGCTCACCAAGGCTTTTCAGCCTCGCCTTGCCTGAGCATCCTGTCCTCTCTGGCTTGTACTGACACTGAATACAACTGCCACTGACTCAGGTAATGTCTTCTTTGGTCTTCGTGCAGCTTCTGGAAAACATGACAGAAGTTGTTCGGAAAGGAATTCAGGAAGCCCAGGTTCAGCTGCAGAAGGCTAACGAGGAACGCCTTCTGGAGGAGGTGAGGCTGGCGCTGGGCTGCCCGTGGCGGCAGGCCGTGAGACCAAGGGCTCTGTGACCTGAGCAGGGGTTTTGTTTTGCAGGGAGTGTTACGGCAGATCCCTGTGGTGGGCTCTGTGCTCAACTGGTTTTCTCCAGTACAGGCATCACAGAAGGGAAGAACTTTCAACTTAACAGCAGGTAGGACTGAGACAGCCTTGCCCAGATCTTGAGAGTTGTCACCAAATGCCCTTGGCCTGTCACCCCTCGTACTAGGAACCCTTCTGTCTGTTCTTCACTGATGGGTGCTATGCCCGGAACTTGTGGAACCGGACTTGTGTTATGGCTGCCGTGCTCTCTCCTCACTCCTGAGTTCAGAGCAGATCCCCAGGCCCCACAGCAAGCACACGACTCTGCCTCTGCTACAGCGCAGTAGTCTGGGACGTTTGCTTCCTACTCAGGCCTCACTGTCCCCAGCAGAGCCATTTCTGAAAGTCAGAGAACACAGCACGCCGGCAGCCAGCAAACGTCAAGTTCCTGGAATCCAGGGAGGACAGCAGCGTGCAGAGTTGTTCTGTGCTACCAAGGAAATGCCCAAAATTCAAGTTCACTTCCCCCGGCGGTGGTGACCATGTTGTCATGAAGTAAAAGACAACTGGATGTTAAATCCACCCGGCCACAGCTGGGAGCAGAGGCATTGCTTCTGCATTGCCAGAGTGCACATCCCAGAGGGGTCTGGTCCCTGGGCACATGAGTGGTGGGAGCAGCTTACCTCAGGGAGTGGGCAGGTGGCACCTCCCAGAGCAGCCTGTGCCCCGAGCACACTCCCACTCCTCTCTTCCTGCAGGCTCTCTCGAGTCCACTGAACACACGTACGTGTACAAAGTACAAGGTACGGGAGTGACGCCACCTCCGACTCCCTCAGGCATGCGCACCAAGCCGAGACTTCCAGGTATGTGACCCCACTGCACGGGCTTCCACCCTGAAAAAAATCCCTGGGCAGCACTTTGTAGAGGAGGACCTGGAGTTTCTGTTTCCGGCCTGGGGAGCAGGGTGGGCTCAGGAGCGCAGCTGTCGGTTCTCTCCACAAGCCTCGATCCTGCACTTCTGGGGATTGTCCAGCAGTTAAGAGACAAAGCCATTGCTTGTTGGGTTGCCAGCCTGTGTCGCAGAGGCCTCCACCCAGCTCATCCCCCCCTTCCACAGGCCACAAGCCCTTTAAAAAGTCCCAAAGAGGCTCAGACGCGGTGAGCGAGACGAGCTCTGTCAGCCACGTGGAGGACTTGGAAAAGGCGGAGCAGCTGGCGAGTGGACCGGAGCAAAGCACACCGGAAGCCCCTGGCCCCGAGCAAGCTCCGGGGACATGCAGCCCTCAGGAGCCCGAGGCCCTGCCCGCCGGGGCCCAGTCCCTGGGAGTGGACTGCCCACAGGTGGAAGAGCGGGAGAGCTTAAGATAAGCCTCGGTGTTGGGTTCGGGACTGTGCTGTTTGTCAGATGAAGTGATAATGACAATGTGAACCAGGCAAGTACACGAGAAATGACTGTGTTTAACTGGGATTTTTGCAAAAACTTGTGCCTGAGAGCCAGACTTTCTGGGAGGGCAGTTGGCTTGTCAAGCTTGGTGTTTACCACCAACTGTTGTCTGTCTTACTCAACTGTAGTATTACCATTTTCCCCCTAAGTTACATAAACACTTTTATTCACAAAGAACACTTAGAATTTCAAGTGCTTGCTACTTGAAACCCTTACTCTTATCTTTCTAACCATAACTGTAATAAGTTACTAGGTTGCACACGAGATCTTTCTGGTGAGACAGCTTTTGTTTGCATGCTCTGCTGTCCACCGGCAGAGGTGAGGCGAGGCAGCGCACTGGGCCCCGTGTGGGAGTCGGCCTGCACACCTGGGCGCTGGCCTCGAGAGAGCGGGTCTGGGGCATAGCTACGGGAGCCCTCTCCTCCGTCCTGCTGCTGCTCTTCCTGGAGCTCTAAGTACGGACTGTGTCCACTCGGGCTGTGGCAGCCTTCCCTGGGACTGTCTGCCAGAGCCATTCCTCCCTTTCTGTACTATTTGTAAACAAATATAAGGACTGATCTATTAAGTATAAAACCTCCTCCAGACCCACCTATGTATATTTTTAAATACTAGTAAGCTTTTAAATTGGCACGCCAAGTACAGGTTGTGCTCATTTCTGTTTAATATCTGAAACCCTGACGATGCTACCCAATGGAGCTAACATCAAGTAGGCTGTCCAGCCTTACTGGAGTCCAGGTGCCCCGGTAAGTGTGCCCTCACCCCAGCAGCAGTCAGCCCACAGCCAAAGACAGACTACTAGCTAATTTACTGTCCATCACACTTGTCCAGGGTGATGGCCCTGCGCCTTCTTAGTGCAGCCAAGTCAAGTTCCAGGAGCTCGTGTGGGGTGAGGAATGGATCCTGGGTGTGGTATTAGGAGCCTTAGTCACTACGTCACATTAAGCCTCTAATTACACTCTGATTACATGGAACTTGTCAAGGTGCAATCTTTTTTGCAGGGGGTAGTACAGATGATTAAACAAAGTCTTCCCTGTTTATTTGGTGCAATGAAGTATTACGTAAAATCGGGAGGGGTAAATTATCACCTTTAACAAGATTAATTTTTAAAGGTTTTATATATATATTTGGAATTGTTAAAATTGGTTTTGGTGAAACAAATTTCACCTTTCAGATATTATTTGAATGTTGATTTCAATAAAGATTCTTAAAATTGGTACAATGAATTCTGTTTATAAGGCCTGGCAACCTTCTGGAGGCTTTAGAAAGGCACAAGGTTTCTAAAACTAACTTGCGTAAAAACCACAACTTGGGCATTTTGACAATCTTACATTTGATTTAATTATTACGATTAAATTTAGTCCTCACATTGAAAAGCAGCAAGCTCAATGTTTCTGAAGTAAAGCAGTTTGTGTCTAAGTTCTGACTCAGTTTTCATTTAGCAGAATAAGAAATACTCACCTACGTATCTGCAGGAGCCCCCACGGCGACAGGTAGATCCGCTGCCCCTTCCAGCTGGACATGAAAAAGTGCATCTGAACAAATACCTTGGCCAAAATAAGATTTTATTGTGAAAATCATCTGAAAGGTGCTGAGTAAGGAAGGACCCACACGCAGGGATCCCATGTTCACCAGTTCACATTCCTCCACCCCAGCAACGGTTTGTATCCTGCAAGCAAGCTGCTTTCTGTGGTAACGCCTATCTTCAGCTTCCTGGAGAAGGGATCTTTTCCCATAAGCCATCTTCGTTTTTTCTGTAGAGCAGAGCTTTGTTTCCAGGAAACAGTGTGTTGGTTGGAGATGGATACTTTTTTAAAAACATTAAGGTAGATCTAATATGTTCAACAAAGTGAGGGGGCTCAGCCAAAGGCGAAGTGGAAAGGTTCTGGAAAAAAAAGATGAGTGTTGAGAGAGAGAATGGTGGCCAGGCTCTGTTCTCCTGTGCTTTGACACAAAGCATCTTCTTAAACATGCAGAGTATTCACAGACCACTACCTGTATGAAATGAAGTCTGCCACATTCAGGAGGAAAAACCAGTTACCTTCTTTACCAGCTGGGCATGCTGTGGGGGTGAAGCAGCCAAGTGGACACGCCAGTGGCAGCCACATGGAAAGGGAAGCAGCCGTTATCTAGTAGAAACCCTGGTTTTTTCTTGCAAATGAGGCAGCCAAGGTCCAGAGATTAGGATTTTTCCAGCCAAGTAAACTCTCACCTCTAGTATTTGCTTGTCATCTTGTTGCAACCAGAAATCCACATGTGGAAATGGTGTCCAGGAATACGGTCCTATTTGAAGTTGTTCTGTCTTTGAATCATAAATGCTGATCATCTTGAAAAGAACATTTCAAGGACAGAATGTAAGGCATTTTACCTACTTCTCCAATTCCACTGTTAGTTTAAGACAAGCTTCTTAAAAATTCTGTCTTGCATGGAACACTCCCAGTGTCTGTTACTGTGCTAAGCCCTGACAAGGCAGTCTTCCCCCCTGTGGCTGTATCCCTCAGGTCAAAGGTATGGGAATCAAAGGGCCACAAACCTGGGTGGGTGTGACTCAAGCTTGGGCCCCTCCTGCTCTAAAACACTGCCACCTCATTTACGCCCCCGTCACCTGGTCACTTCAACAGACGTAAAGGTGTGGTGGTTGGGCCCAGGAGTTAAGACACTGCTTGGAATGCCGCACTCCTTTGCAGAGTAGCTAGGAGCCAAACCTGGTTCTGCTGTTTACTCCCAGAACCCCAGGGATGGGGACCCTGGGAGGCAGCAGCTAGGCTCCTGGCATCATCAGAAAAACCCAGGGACCAGCCAGAGACTTAAGAATTTGGGGAGTTAACCAGTGCACAGGAGCAGCTGTATCTGTGGTTTCTTGTGTTCCCCAATATTTTAAATGCATTCAAAAGAAAATAGTTTGTAAAAAGCTGCCAATGGCAGTTTTTAGATAAACTAGTGATATTCAGTTACTGACATAAGTTCTGATTACTAAGACTATTATGCTACTTAAATTGTAGAAGGAATTCTAAAAATGTTAAAAGGATGGCAAAATAAATCAGACTCTGCACGTTCTGTGAAAATGTCAGCAGATTCTCTTGGGTATGCTGAATGCAGTTTCTATTTTTTCATGCTTTGAACATTTTAGAGAATATTTTTGGACCAGTGCCGTGGCAAATGAAGCCACTGCCTTCAACACCAGCATCCCGTATGGGTGCCAGTTCTGGTTCTGACTATGCCACTTCGGAGCCAGCTGGCACTACACAGGAGTTCGAGGCCTCCTACCAAACTTCTGAGCCAGCTCCTTGCATCCAAGCGGGGATCCTAACGGCCAGGTGGTTCACTTTCCAAATGTGAATCATCCCTTTACCTCGCAACTCTGCTTTTCAAGTAAATAAATCGTAGAAAAAGGAATGGCTGAAAGTTAATTTTTAACAAAACGTGAAATCAGACTTTCACTTACTTTGCTCTTCTGGGAAGTACATCATTCGAGCACATTACTCCCCAGTGACTTGTTCTAAAGACCTGCATGATCTAAGTGCAGAGTGGAGAAGGTTCCTTCCTGTTCCCCTCTCTGCAGGAACTGAAGATGGAAAGTTCTTAGAAAGTGGAAACCGTTCAATCTAGATGCCATTCATTCACAGGGGGCCTCTTCCTGAACCTGGTGCAAAGCTGTGTCCATTCATTACTCTTCTGAGAAGGCTGCGTGGAGGGCCCTGGTAACTCACAGCACTGAGCAGGTGGGCAGTGGCAGGCACTGTGATGTAGCCGGTGAAGCCACCGCCCGGGATGCCCACTTCCCAAGGCAGAGTGCTCAGACTGACTGCCACTTCTGCGCGTGCTGGGAGGCAGCACCATCATGTCTTCAAGCACTCGACATCTGGATGGCATTCCTGGCTCCTGGCTTTGTCCAGGCCCCAGCCCCTGCTCACGAGGACATTTGGAAAGTGAACCAGCAGACAGATTTCTTTTCCTCTCTGCCTTTCAATTTGGTGGGGGGGGGGGGGGGGTAGGGGGAGGAATTAAGAGAAAACAACTTCCCTCCACTGCTTCACACTCAAGTGGCCAGAGCTGGGCCAAAGTTGGGAGCCAAGAACTTCTTCCAGGTCTCCCACATGGGTGCAAGGCCCAGGCACTTGGACCATCCTCTGCTGCTTTCCCAGGTACATTGGCAGCCAGCTGGATGGGAAGTGAAGCAGCCAGGACTTGAACTAGCACCCACATGGGATGCCAGCACTGAAGGCTTAGCCTGTTGCCAAATATTGTTCCCATCCTTTTAAAGAATGAAACTGTTCTTAGGTCTGTAACACTTGAGGCTCTGGCCCCTGGTGCTTTTTTTCTTCCTTAACCCCTCAACACAGAAGGTTTCAGACTCACTGGTCCCCCGGCTAACGCCCGCGCGGCTCGCAGCTCCTCCTCTGGGCCTCGGTCTGGGAAGGACGCTCGGTAAATCTCTGCAGTTTGTATGTTGACAGCTGTGAGGGAAAAGATGCCCAAGTCGGGGGTCAGTGCTGCCTCACACTCCTGCCACTATGGACAAGGCACAGAAAGAGAACAAACTGGTTCTTGGGTAGCCATAGCTGCCAGGAAAGGGTGGAGGCCTGCGCCAGCCTGGGTAGGACGCTGGTCCTTGTGGGACACTCACAGGTTCTCAGGTGGGGCAGGGCCGCCTGGCCCTGTGCCCAAGTACGTTTCTGTAGGGTGCAGGGGTGGGAGGATGGCCTTTGTCATGTGGCAGTTACAACCAAATAATCAAAAATAGCGTCCACCGCCCAGCTAAATAAATATTACAGGTGTGGCAGACGCCCTGGGCAGCTGCAGCCCCACCTTCTTGTGCTGTGTCCTTAGGAGGCCTGGGGACGAGCCTGGGGGGGCGGCGAGACTGGGCTGCTGGTTCGCACTTTCTCTGCCAGGATCTCTCATCTCATGTACAACCTAGCCCCTTACAGAGTTCCCTCCTCCTGCCCCTGGCAGTACCAAGGCCTCCTGACACTGAGCCTGCTCTGTTATTCACACACCACAGAACCACACTGCCACCAGGGATGGGCCAGTGGAAGGCGCCATGGCCTAGGGATGCCCCCTGCTGTACACCCATGATGCCCACACGCTGACGGCACCAGGGCACACTGCAGGATTCTGCTCCGCTGTGCGGCCCAGTCCTGCCACATGGGCACGGTCAGCCCTGCGGTCTGGGAGCTGTGGCCTTCACATCCACAGCAAGTAGAAGAGCCAAGATTTGAACTCGAGCCATCACATCCTGACAGAAGTGGGCACCATTAGTCTGTCTTGAGGCAGACTGTCACCTGGAGCCCGCCTTAACATGTGACCAGGCTTCCAGCCCCAGGGGAAAATGTCACTTACCGATGCCATAAATGATTGGAAAATGGTTTTCATTTTCTTCCCGGTCATTTAATTCTAGTGGTTAAAAAAAATAAATAAAATGGAGATGATTTCAAGAAATAGTAAGCAGTGAGGTTTGTTCACTCTACAACAAAGGCTGAGGAGGAGGTCCGTGGTCAAGGGGCAAGCAGGATTTCGAGACCCTGCCATCTCCACGGACCCGGCTCCAAAACCCCATGCCCTCTTCCTCTCCAACAACCAGAGAGGCTCCGCAAAACCCCAATGAAGAAGCTGGGCCACTGACGGGGCTGGCATTCAAACTGAGGCTGACTGGGGGACAAACAGGGTCATTCCAGCATGGAAAAAGAACAGCAAAGCAATGGAGACCAAGTGCCCGGGTTGGTCCTGTAGAAGGGCAACAGTGAAGCCTGGCTGCACCCACAGCTTTGTGTTGAGGGAAGAAGGCAGAACTGAGCCGAGACAGCCCAGTAAACACGCCATGGGGTGACAGGTTAAACCTCCACCTGTGGCACCAGCATCCCATATGGACACGGACTCAAGTCCAGGAGCTACTTCTGATCCAACTCCCTGCTACTGGCTTGGGACGGCGGCAGCCGACGGCCCAAGCACTTGGACCCCTGCACCCACGTGGGAGACCTGGAAAAAGCTCCTGGCCACAGGTTTTGGCCCAGCACAGCCACTGCAGCCATTTGGGGAGTGAACCAATGCATGAAAGGTCTATCTTCCTTTGCCTCGCAAATTAAAAAAAATAAACCCTTAAAAAAACAAAAACAGCATTCACATCAGCACTTGGGTTTGATGCCCAGCTCCAGCTTCTTGCTAACACACATCGTGGGAGGTGTGGTGATGGCTAAAGTGACTTAAGTTCCTGCCACTCACGTGGAGGACCTCGGCCAAGTTGCTGGCGTCTGGCTTTGATCCCCCGGGGCCGTATCATTAGGGGAGTGAACCAGTGGATGAATGTGCTTTACCTGTTTTTCAAATAAGCAAAAAAAACGTTTAAAAGGCAGAACTTACCTGTCACACATAACGTCACTAAATGAATATCATCTTCCTGTTTGTCAAATTCACCTACAATGAGAATTTCCGAACTGCATGTAAGAAAATCTTCTAAGAGCTGGCACTGTGACGCAGCAGGTTAAGCTGTTGCCCACAGCACCAGCATACCATGTGGACTTCCTGTTCAAGTCCCAGCTGCCTGGCGTCCAATCCAGCTCCCTGCACATGTGCCTGGGAAACAGCAGAAGATGGCTCAAGTCCTAGGGCCGCTGCACCCCTGTGGGAGACCCTGAGCGATCTCCGGCTTTGACCTGGCCCAGCTCCAGCCTCTCAGGCCTTTTTTCGACATGAGCTAACAGAAGACCTAACTCTGCCATTCAAATAAATCAGTTTTTTGAGGAATATTCAAATGAGTACAACACTGCTGAGCAAGTCAAGGGAGGAGGGACGGAGCCAGATGAGCACCTGCAGGCCAGCGCCCGGCCCTGGGGCCTGGCAGCCAGCTGACGCCCTGAGCCCTCAATGTTCAGTGACTCACCCATTCTTTGTCACCAACTCTGAACAAACAAGATTCATTCTGACAGGTCTGAGGCACACTTAGATTCAAAGGTGACATTTACTCCTAACGAACTTCTCCCTCATTCCAGGTCATTCAAAAAAGAGAAATCTAGTCTTTATAAAAGCTTTTGGAAGATGCACGGGAGTATAAGGACGTCTCTGAGGGCACAGCATCTTAGCTGGGAATATTTGTTGTGTTCCTGCTCATACTCCTATGCATGTTTTATGCCCACTTGGTCCTGGTTGATTTTGTACAGTGTTATTTTCCGATATCCTTCAAACCTTCCCTTATTTTTCAGTGACAATGTAAGTACTCTTCTATAGCGAGATACTAGATCATTTCCTCCTGTAATTAATCTTCTACTGCTCATCTGTGGCGACACGTCTCCATGCTCGCTGCAGATCACTTTCTCAGAACAGATGCAGGTCAGAGGACGCAAGCCTGCCACAAGCCGCCGCGCCAAGCACTGACTGCCCGTGCTAAACACACGACGCCTTGTGGTGCTTGTGATTTCACAGACACGTGCTCATTTACATGGGAAAAACACTGGTATCAACAGTGATTCTACTTTTCAGTACATTAAGGCCATGGCTGCCAGGAGGGGGCTGTACACAGTGGAATTTACTACCCTGGAATGCAGCAAATGCTACTTTGAAAGGAAATCCTGTCACTGTGCCCACAAGCTCCGGGCACTCTGCCCAGCTCTGTGCTCCTCCACCTTGTAGGATGGCAAGCCCTGCGCCCCTACTTCCTGACAGCGCCCCATGTGTGTGTCCCTCAGGTGTACTTGCAGCGGGTCCAAGTGTTTGTCAAATTTTGAGGAAAAGACAGTGAACTTACTAAGGAGTTGATGGGTGAGTTTCCGCGACAGCTGCCTGTCATCACTGAAGCCGCCCACGAGGTGCACCTCCAGCCTGGAGAGAAACGGGACAGTGGTCAGGAGCTGGGCAACACGTGCCCAAAGCCTGTGGGCCTTTGTCATGCCGGACATGGATGTGCCTCTTTGCGGCCAGCTTCGTGCCCTGGGACCAGCATCCGCTGCCTTACCCAGCAGCTGACACGCTGCGCTCCTGCACATGCGCCTCAGCCGCAGGAGCCCCCAGACCCTCCATAAGCCTTCACCAAGCAGCACGTAGGCCACAAGCAAGAGAGCTGTCCTGGCCAACTGACAGAGGAAATGGAGTCTACTTTGTAAAGCTCTGACGAGGGGTCCACCACACCAGATTTTCTCTGTGTTCCACTGCACAGGAGATAGGGGAAGCCTGCCGACCATATCCCCTCCCTCAGACGTCCTGATGCACACTAGCAGAGCGAAGGGCTGACAAGGAGTAGGCATCTACCACAGCAGCTGAGTCCACTAGAGGGGCCGGCATTGTGACCTAACAGGTTAGGCCACTACCAGCAGTGCCGGCATCCTGTATGGGTGCTAATTCATGTCCTACCTATTCCAGTTCTGACCCTGTTCCTGCTAATGTCCTGCAAAACCAGTGAAGGATGGCTCAGGTCTTTGGGCCGTGCGCCTGAGCGAGAGACCCAAATGGAGTTTCTGGTTCATGCTTTGGCCTGGCCCTGAAGTAGGGAATGAACCAGTAGACAGAGTATCAATCTCTATCTCCCTCTACCTTTCAAATAAAATCCATCTTAAAAACAAAAAACATGCTGCATCTGCCGGCATAATGGCTCAACTGGCTTATCTTCCATCTTGCAGCACTAATATCCCATATGAATGCTGGTTCAGGTCCCAGCTGCCCCACTTCCCATCCAGCTCCCTGCTTGTGGCCTGGGAGAGCAGACCAGGAAAGCCCAGAGCCTTGGGCCCTGCACCCGCGTGGGAGACTCCGAGGGGGCTCCTGGGTTTGGACTGGCTCAGCTCCAGCCATCTGAGGGAGTGACCCACCAGCAGATGGAAGATCTTCTCTATCTCTCCTTCTGTAAATCTGCCGTTCTAATAATTTTTTAAAAAAAATAAATACCAGCCCAGCGCGGTGGTGCAAGTGGTTGAGTCCTCGCCTCGCACGCCCGGGATCCCATATGGGCACTGGTTCTAATCCCGGCAGCCCCGCTTCCCTTCCAGCTCCCTGCCTGTGGCCTGGGAAAGCAGTTGAGGACGGCCCAAAGCTTTGGGACCCTGCACTCGCGTGGGAGACCCTGGCTTCGGATCAGCATAGCATCGGCCGTTGCGCTCACTTGGGGAGTGAATCATCAGACGGAAGATCTTCCTCTCTGTCTCTCCTCTCTGTATATCCGCCTTTCCAATAAAAAATAATAAAAATAAATCTTTAAAAAAATAATAAAAAAATAAAAACCACATCCCATATCTGAGTGTTTGGTTCGAGTCCCAGAGCCCCTCTGCTTCTGACCCAGCTTCCTGTGCATGCCCAGCATGGGCAGCAGTTTATGGCTGCAGTAACTCGGGTCCCTGCCACCCACATTCCAGGACCCCTGGCTGCAGCCCGAGCCGGCCCTGATTGTTGCAGGTGTTCAGGCAGTGAACTAGTGCAAAGATCAGTGTCTGCCTTTCACACACAAAAAAAAGCTCTGGCCAAATCCTATGGTTTAACACAACCGAACTAGCTCTCTTCAACTCCGTTTCTTTCTCACCTGGGGAATGAGTGAATGACTGCCCTACTTCACACTGCCTTCTATGCAAACTCTTAAGGAATGAACCAGACCCTCCCATGCTCCGAGTACAGTGTTGCCTCAAGGAAGTTTCTAAAAGTTGCACCAGTGATGCCAGCATCACATCTACACGCCGATTCATGTCCTCACTGCTCCATTTCCAATCTAGTTCCCCGCTGCCAATGGCCCAATCGCTGGGGCCCTCACCACTTCCGTGAAAGACCAGGATGAAGCTCCTGGCTCCGGCCCTGGCTGTCCCAGCCATCTGGAAGATCCGTTCCTCCTTTCTCCGTAACTTTCAAGTAAGTAAATAAATCTTTAGGCATGCATGTGCATGCACGCACACAGACATGTTCAATAGCAAGGGGCTGCGAGCTGCAGCTTTGTTGCACAGAGCGACTGGATGAGGACTAGGTAATCACGCTCCCAGAGTCAAGGGGCCGGGCGTGCACGGAGACCTGGCTGCGTAAGTGGCTGGGCTGGGGCACACCGGGAAGCCAGCTCAAGTTAGGCTTAAGAACTGACCACTGCCGCAGTGGTTGGCACCCCCTGGCAGGCCTGCCCCCCAGATCCCAGCGTTGCGGGGAGCCCTGACCACACTCGCCCTTCCACTTCCTGCTAATCATGCACACGCTGCCAGGGAGCTGATGGTGCTGCAGGTGCTTGGGACTCTGCTACCCGGTGGGAGACACAGATGGGGTTCTGGGCTCCTGGCTTCAGCATTTCACATAAAAAAAAAAGAAAATGATGTGCTGCGCCAGTGAAACTGACAGCGTTTCTTTTTCTAACACCCGAGTCTGGCCCTGGGTGGCTGTCTAAACCACTAAACGACCACCGCACCACTCAATACTGCTTACTAATTTACGCCATTTTTTTTAATTGAACAGGAAAGAGCCAGACTTCTGAGTTCAACCAGTGGGCGCCCAGGGCCTTCTGCATGTTCATTTAATGGCTAAGACTGCGGAGCAAATGGCAGCACTGCCTGCCCAGTCTACAACCTGCCTGAGGGCTGGGGGGCCGGGAGGGAAGTTAGACAGCCAGGCCTGGGGCGGGACCGGCATCCAACTGGCTGTGTTGGAGGCAAGAGGACTCGGCTGGCTCTGACGCGCCTCTTAGCCAGCGCTCCGCAAGGACCCACTGATGTGCAGCCCGAGAGGCAGGCCCCAGCTGCACGTGCCCCTCGTGCACACAACAGCCGCCGCTGCTGGATCCCACAGGGCGCGGGGGACACGCCTCCCCTGACACCCCAGCTGCACGTGCCCCTCGTGCACACAGCAGCCGCCGCTGCTGGACCCCACGGGCACGGGGGACACGCCTCCCCCGACACCAGCTGGCGGTTCCCACTCCCACGGCAGAGCAGTGGAGTGCTCACCTGCCACTTTGAGACTGGCTGGGAATAGACTTTATGGAGTTCATGATCAAGGGGACCTCGGCTTTGGTGTCGGTTCCATCACAGTGTGTCAGGCAGGTAGCCCCGTTACCTGAAGAACAAGGGGGAGAGGACTTGGATTATTCCTGCCATGAAGCCTGCAAGCCCGGGCGGCTCTGTGCACTGGGGCCGTCTGCCCTTGACTGTCCAGTGGGACGAAGGGAGGCAAGTGTGGCTGCCCAGCCAACCCACTCGGGCCAGGGCCTCAGAGATGTACCATGCAGACTAGAAAAAACCTATGCCAAGTCAGGTTTCCCATCAGACACCAGGAAATGAGCATGGACACAAGAGATGGTCCCCAACATTGGGTCACTTTAAGTAACAGGTTTGCCTTCACCTCTCTTATCATACCTGTGTGCCTCAGGACCACAATGTGACAAGTGGTGGCATCATCAGAACCCAGAATGGAGATGGAGCCTGTTTAGAAAAGAAATAAAATAAAATATCCAGTCGCTTCTGGGGGGTCCTGCCCAATTCACTGCTTCCTAACCTACCATCCTTTGGGGAGGTCACTGCCAGCTCTCTTTGCTGAACATACAGAAGGCCCTGGGGTCCCACTGGTTGAACAGACTGACCTCTGAGAAGTCTGGCTCTTTCCTGTTCAATTAAAGAAAAATAAAATAGTGATGTAAATTAGTGAGGGGTGATGACTGGCAGGGCGGGGCAGAGTGAGCCAAAGTGTGCAGTGTGAGTGGGGAACGCACCTGAGGGGGGGCTGTGTGCTTCCTGACAGCGCGGCCCCCAAGAGCAGTCAGCCAGGACAATGCAAGCAAGACGAGGCAAGGCTGATTTTATTTATTTATTTATTTATTTATTTATTTTTACCCAATAAAGCATGATTTTAGCACTCAGGAATTAAGATGTGAAAATCCTTGATCACTGTTCTTTACCGACCCTGCCAGTGTGCAGGGCGGTGGTTGGGAAGCCACTTCACTATCCATGAGAGGAAGCAGGGGCAGAGCCCTCCTGTCCTCTGATTGAGCACCTGCCCACGGAAATGTGCACTAGGGAAATGACCCACAACTTCCTAATGGCTGTGATACAGGAGCAAAATCCTGAGAGCAGTGACAGTATGTAAGGAAACCCCACAGGGCCGACATACGCCACTCCTGGCAGAGCCACAGCAGACGAAGGCGAGTTTCCAAGTGCTAGCTGAAAACCAGCAAGACACAAAAGTACAACATCTCTGAAGAGCTCTAAGTCTCCATTGCTACAATGATGACAGACTGTGTCACCACTGCAATAATGACACTTTCTTACCCTTATCCCCAAATGTGTACTGTTAACAATGGCAGAGATGGGGCCCGGCGGCATGGCTCAGCAGTCAGAGTCCTCGCTTTGGGCGCGCCAGGATCCCATATGGACACCAGTTCTAGTCCTGACAGCTCCACTTCCCATCCAGCTCCCTGCCTGTGGCCTGGGAAAGCAGTCGAGGACGGCCCAAAGCCTTGGGACCCTGCACCCGTGCGGGAGCCCTGGAGGAGGTTCCTGGATCCTGGCTTTGGATTGGCCTAACACCGGCCATTGCAGCTGCTTGGGGAGTGAACCATTGGACAGAAGATCTTTCTCTCTGTCTCTCCTCCTCTCTGTATATCTGACTTTACAATAAATCTTTAAAAACAAAAAATAATGGCAGAGATGAACAAGCAAATATTTATAGAAAAGATATTAAGTAGCAAAGGTTTCTGTAACTGGGACAGGCGCTGCGGCACAACAATTGAAGCCACCACTTGTTACAACACTACATTCGATTCAGAGTGTATGGCATGAGACTCAGCTCCTTCGCTTAACATCCAGCTTCCTGGGGAGCGGGGAGGGGAGGTTAGAGGGGCAGACAATGGCTCAATGGCTAAAGCCTCACCCTCATGTGCTGGCAACCCATATGGGCGCTGGTTCGTATCCCGGCTGCTTCACTTCCCATCCAGCTCCCCAGGAACCCTGCACCCATGCGGGAGACCCAGAACAAACTCCTGGCTCCAGAATGGCTCAGCTCTGGCTATTACAGCTACTTGGGGAGTGAACCAGCAAATACAAGAGCTTTCCATCTCTCAGCTCTGTAAATCTGATCTGCCTTTCCAGTAAACCTTTAAAGAAAAAAACACAGCTTCCTACGATGAACCTGGAAAGGCAAATGATGGCCAGGGTCCCTGGGGGCCTGCCACCCATGTGGGAGATCCGGATGCAGCCCAGGCTCCTGGTCTACTGCCTGCTGTAGCTCTTGCTCTTGTGGGCATTTGGGGAGTGATCCAGTGGATGGACGAGCTCTATTTCTTTGCTCCATCTTTCAAATACATAAAATTCTTTCTAGAAACTGTCTAATTGAATACATTGTTAGTAAGCCCAGTGCCCTCCTCCCCAACAAAGGCTCCAGGTGCTTAAATACTTCAATTAAAAAAATGGATACTTTTTTCAAAAACGACACACCTGGGCAATGCCAGGGTATAACATCATTGCTTTTTTCCTTGCAACAAGTGACTGAGCTGGTGCAAATCTAGGTTAGTGTTTAGTTGTTTAAGAAAAGAGATGTAATAAATGTTAAGCTCAGTTGCTTAGTTATGCATTGTTCTTTCATTTTTAAAGATTTATTTATCTGTAAGACAGATTTGGCAAAGGCGGGGGCGGGGATGAGGCAGGGAGAGGGAATGGAAGAGGGAGACAGAACCTTTTCTCCACTGGTTCTCTCCCCAGGGGGACGCAGCCATCGGGACTGGTCCAGGCAGAAGCCAAGAGTTTCACCTGGGTCTCCCAGGAGAGTGGCAAGGGCCCAAGCGCTGAGGCCACCCTCTGTGCCATCCCGGGCTGTCAGCAGGGAGCTGGATGGCAAGTGCAGCAGCGCCCACACTGGATTACACAGGGTGTCATTACCTGCTTTGCCACAGCGCCAACCCATTTTCCTCTTAATAAACTTCCATCAACAAGAAGCAGCAATGAGAACAAGTCCCTTCATTTAATTAATGAGAAACACATGTGGCTGCCTGCGCTGAAACTTGGCACCCACCTGGGACCCCAGACTGCCTCTCACTTCCTTAGCTCTCTGCTCACTTCACCCAACAGAGAGTGTAAGATCCTCTTGCACCCGACGCCTGATGCCTTTTGCTTTGTTCGAGGAGGGACTGTAAGGGGTGGGGGACAGTAGGACAGGCAAAATGTGCACAAGTGGGCCACCACCGAAAGCCAAGTTACTGCTGAGAACAGACCACAAAATCCTCCTCTCCTCAACACAGGTCCCCAGGAAATACAAGCAAAAGATCAGAAACAGCTCTCCAAAATAACCAGAGGTTTTCTGTTTTCACCTTCCATCTTAAGAAATGAACAAGCTTAGCCAAATTTCTTTTTGGGACAACACGGGCACCAACGTTACAAACCCACATCCTTTAGCAAACACAAATAACCTGACCTTTCTCGACTTCAAATACTCGGAACCTTGATGTTCCCTAAAAACGATCTGGACCCCAGGCCTATTCCCAACTTCCAATTCCTATTCCTATTCCAACGTGTACTTAAAACCCAGGACCTGGCGACTTCCTGGCAGAGTATCGGGGTTCTGCAGATAATGCCATCTGTCACATCTCCTCCACCTTGCTGCTGCCTTGGGAAAGCAGTTCAGACAACACCTCAACGCATGTGGCTGTGTGCCAGGAAAACTATTTACAGGAGACATGAACATGTAAATTGCATGTGGCTTTCTGCCGCTCATCTGAAACACACTGTTGATTCCTGGGCTGCACAGAGCTGGGGCGGGGCAGGGCAGCCACGGGAGCACACGCCCTGGGCCTCGCTGTCAGCACCTTTCTCCCGTGCCCCTGGGGAGCGCAGGTGAAGGTGCTCTGGGGGAGAAAACGACCAACACGTGTGCCTCTCCACGTGTGCCTCTCCATGCCCTAGGCCAGCCCTCCCTTGTACTACATGGAAACCACCACAACTTGTGACACTGCAGAGACAGAAAAGCACTCACCCACATTCTTCCAGAAGTTTACATTTTTTCCTCTCTTAGGGAGTTCTGCTTTTGATGCCAGAGTTAACTGTGATGAAGTACAAGGAGCACACGGCACACTGCCTAGCCCATGTGTGTGAGCTCAACCTGGCCTGGCAGCGGAGACCCCTGCAGACCCCTGCATTCCTCCGCAGCTCGGGGTGCCTGCCACAGCCCCCGCATCCTGCTGAGGTGCACCCCGGGAGGCAACAGGTGATGGTGCAGCTGTCTGCATCCCTGCAGACTGAGTGCCAGGCTCCTGGCTCTGGCCTGGCCCAGCCCTGGCCATGTGGGCATCTGCCGGGATGAAACAGCAGGTGGGGACTCTCCCTCTGAGTTTCTGCCTCTCAAATAACAATGGGAAAAAAAATAGAATAAAAGATGCTTACTTTAGCGCAAACCAAATTTTGGAAATCCATGCACAGCTTTTTCCTACTCGGATGTACCATGAAACTTTTTAAACAGTCCTCAAACACATGAATTTCAATTTTTTTTTTTTTTTGCAGAAAAAATGAACTTTTAATTTCCACCTTCCAGGAATTTTTCTATAGTGTCTTCATATATGCAACTGTCTGGAAGTGCATGCTGAAAGGGGTCCCACCCTTTCTCCATCATAACCCTTGTCACCCTTTAGCCCGTCTTCAGTGGTCACCGCTCACTTACACATGGAACAGTTACTGGGGCACACACTATGCCAGGCTGCCCACTGAGAAGCACAGACAACGACTCCCTCCGTCTCCCATCCGCCCGAAGCCGGGGGACACCGACCACCGAGTGAACCAACAAAACGAGTAACATCACCACCCCATCACCCACCACCACAGCCGGCCGAGACGGAGGAGCCACCAAAACCCGGACCGAACCCCAAAGGGCACTTCCAGCGGCGCAGAACAGTTTAAACCGGAGCCCATCCCGCCACCGAAGGGCAGCGCCAGGACGCCACGACGGGAGAAGGGTCAGCCCAGCGCACCGGTGCCTTCGGTCCACCGACCGACCGAGACCCCGTCAACTGGATCTGTGGCAACGAAGGCGTTCCGTTTCACATTTTAACAATAAGAAATTCCTTTCCAACAGCGCCAGCCCCAAGCACAGAGCCAAGGTTCGGAGGTCTAAGTCGAGGACAAAAGCAGGAAAAACAAAAACCCGTGCATCAGGGCGTGGTCCTCGCCACAACCCCAGCTGGGGAGAAAGCAGGGGGGCGGGGGCTTTCCTTGGGCTAAAAATAACCGGGTGCGAGTCCTGGGCCTCAGGGGGACCGGGGTTGCAGACAAGAGGTCAAAGGCGAGGGGACCCCGCAGGACACCCCCGCCGAGCGTCCCAAGCTCATTCTGCAGGAAGTTCGGCCACGGGGCGTTCTGGACAGGGTGCGCACCCCACACGCGTGCCTGGGAGCTTGCTGGGCCAGCACACCCAGATGTGCCGAAATGGACCCCAGTCCGGGCTGGGGAGGGAAGGGCCGCCCTGCCTGGGAATGGGGGTTCCCGAGGGTGCCCTCTGTGCTGTGCGACCTTGGGCAAGACGCCTAACGTCTCTGGGTCAAAGAGAGGGGCTCGGCAGATCCCTCCGCACCCTCAAATGCGCACAAGGCGAAAGCCCGGCGGAGCTCCAGAGCGCGCCGGGCTCCCGGGTGCCGCCAAGCCCCCCGCGCTGCGCCAAGTTTAAACCCTGTTCGCGGGGAGCGCTCCCGCCAAGCTCCGCCTCGGGCCCGACCCGAACCCCCGCGCCGGCCTCCGCTCACCTCCAGACACGGGTGGGCTCGGACGAGGTCCCCGGCCGACTGCGGCAGCCGCACGCGCTGCCCCTCCACGAGCAGCGGCATCGCCGAGGCGGCGGCGGCCTCCTCAGCACGGGCCGCCCGCCGCCCCCGCCCCGCCGCGAGGGCTGACGGGAAGGAGAGTCCGCACCGCGACGCGGCCGCCCCGAGAACTGGGGGAAAGGCAGGGCTTGGGGCCGCACGGCCTCACGGGAAACATAGTCCAAGCGCAAGGAAGTGGCGTCACATGGCCAGCAAGGGGTGCTGGGAAATGTAGTCCCCAAAGCGTGGGGCGCCGAGGAGTGCAGAGGCAGGCAGAGTCGTCTCATCTGGAGCTGAGGGCACCGGGAATGTCCTCACGGATGGGCCAGCGTGGCCCGAGGGCGGGTCTCGGGATCTGCTGTCTTACTTCACTTCCAATCACTTGCTTCTAGGGCGTGTGGGCCGTTGCTCCACTTTGAGCTTGGAGCCTTAAACACAAAGGCTGTGCTGCCCCCTAGTGTTGTATTTGGTAATGGACGTAAACCTATTTAACCTGGAAAAATACGCCCCCCGCCCCGTGCTGGCCCCACACCTTGAGGCCACCAGTACCACTCTGGGTTCAAGCGAGGCACACCCATCGGAGGACCCCGAGCCCAGGAAATGACAGTGTACTGCCCTGGGCTGAGACAAGTGCCCCCATCCCTGTGGAGGGAGACTCCTCACCGCAGGACTCGCGAGCACATCCAGCTCCACAGTAGCTGGCGGTCAGGTGGAGCGGGGCAATTCACACGGAGCAGAAACCTCATCAGGATTCCATCAGCTGTGTTTCGTCCTCTTCCTTCGGCCAAGCTCCCCCTCCGCTCACATGGCCCACTCAACAAAAATCCCAAGTAGAGAACAGTTCACGGTGTCCCCCAGTCCCCCCAAGTTCTCGCCGTCACCAGCACTTCTCACAAACGTTGAAGTCAGCACATTTCCCGAAATTCCTACAATGTTGCTGCAAGTGAGGTTAAATCCAGCTTCGTGCGACTCCAGCCAGGGAAGGTGAAATTCTACGGAGATTTGACTTGAGCTGTCTGAGCAGCTTAAACTTCTCTCAGCTGGGTTTCTCATCTGTTGAACAGCACCTGTTCTACAACCAGCACCTGTCACCCGGCACAATGGTGCAGATGACTGCTGGCCCTGGAACTGCGGTCAAGGAGGTGAAACACTTTGAAATGTGTAGGTTGAGAATGCCCATGGTTCCTGCCCACGTTGGTCAGCTCTTGTCTGCTGATTCAACCTAGTTTAGTCCCAGCCACTGTGGCCTTCTGGGGATGCAGCAGAGGATGAAAGAGCTCCTTCAACAAACTTTTTTAAAAAAGATTTTAAAATGCAGGATTAATACAGAAGGAAAGAGAACTTTTATCCAATAGTTCACTTCCCAAATAGCCACGAGGGCTGGAGCTGGCCTGAAGCCTGGAGCCAAGAGCCAGAAGCTTCTTTGTGGTCTCCCACATGGGTGCAGGGGCCCGTGCACTTGAGCTAGCCTCCGCTGCTGTAACAGAAGCCTTAGCAGGGGACTGGGTCTGAAGTAGGAACAGCCCGGACTAGATCCAGTGTCCACTGGAATGCCGGCACCATAGGTGACAGCCCCCCAAAAGGAACCTGCTGGGGTCAACTTTGCCCCAGCTGTAGCTTCATCTGCTGAGAGGAAGTACCAGGTTTTCTGATTTCATAATCATCACACAGGCAAAACCTCTTCTCACTAAAACAGGAACCTCCAACCATCTCCAAAGGCAGAGCACCGCAAGTCCAACTGAGACACTCCAATCGAGAGCCAGACGCAGAGATCTCTCACCTGCAGCTTCCCAGGCTGAGCAGCAGCACAAAGCTGCACTGAAGCCACACTGTGCAGTGCTCGCCACGTCTTAGGACTGAAGGCTACACGCCCTGCAGGTCACTTAGGCCACGAGTGAAATGGGCTCTGTTGGACCCAGGCCCAACTGTGTTTTAGAAAGCTCTGGAGGGGAAGCTAGCGCATAATGCAGTTTAAGTAACACATTATAGGGCCCGGCACAGTAGGCCTAGGGGCTGAAGTTCTCACCTTGCACTTACTGGGATCCCATATAGGCACCAGTTCTAATTTCAGCAGCCCCGCTTCCCATCCAGCTCCCTGCTTGTGGCCTGGGAAAACAGCAGAGGACGGCCCAAAGCCATGGGACCCTGCACCCGTGTGAGACCAGGAAGACACTCCTGGCTCCTGATTTGAGGCCATTCAGGGAGCGAACCAACTGATGGAAGCTGTCTCTCTGTACATCTACCTTTCCACCAAAATCTTTTAAAACAAAAGAAAATATTTAAGAAACAGTAATTACACGGAAGAAAGGAAATGGATTTTGGCCTTGAAAGACTCCCCAGGAAAATGCTCCCTGACTACAAATCATCACACGACAGCGGACCTCAGCGAGGCCAGGTGAGTATTTGCTGTTGGTCAGATAGCTCGTTACAAAAACAGCCAGTGTGACGTGCGGAGCGCGATGAAACGCCCACTGGCTCTTTTACACTTGCAGTGTCAGTCATGTCTCGGGAAGGAAGTCTGCCCAAGGCGCATGGGCCAAGCCCGGAGCCTGCAGGCTTGCTTCTTAGAACAAGGCCCACTGTGCTCCTAGCACTTCCAAGGAGGATCCCACAATTTCTTTCCCACAACTTTTCCTTCCTAAGTGCTTGCTTCTCTTGGACCTGCCTGGCTGGACACTCCTGACTGGATGAGATGAGGAAGCTGCTGACATTTGAGGCCATCCCGTCACAGCAGGCACTTGTTCCTGAACACTTTTTTTCCTTAAGATTTATTTATTTTTATTAGAAAGTCAGATATACAGAGAGGAGGAGAGACAGAGAGGAAGATCTTCCATTCGATGGTTCACTCCCCAAGCAGCCGCAACAGCTGGAGCTGAGCCAATCCGAAGCCAGGAGCCAGGAGCTCTTGCAAAAGGGTGCAGGGTCCCAAGGCTTTGGGCCGTCCCCGACTGCTTCCCCAGGCCATAAACAGAGTTGGACAGGAAGCGGGGCTGCCGGGATTAGAACCAGAGCCCTTATGGGATCCCGGTGTGCACAAGGCCACTATGCTTTCGCACCGGGGCCCCTCTACGCTTCCAATCACGCCAGCCCTATTTCCCCCTTTTCAACTGTGAGATGTCAAGAGCAGGTTTCCACGGCAAACACGACACGTCCACGCACCAGACTGGCAAAGGAGTACACAAGCGCAGAGAAAGGACATCTATGTGAGAAATCTTTCTTTATTGGGAGTTGCTCTCCTTATCAGCGTGATGAAAGTCTCATATTACCGTGTCTTCATTTTATTTTTACAATGCAATTTTTCCCCAAACTCCTTTCAAATTATACAGATCTACTTGCAAACATATCCTTCTACTTTAAAACTACTTCCCGACCCACAAAGACCCCACCAACCCTCACCCACGAGCTCCGGTGAAGACATTTGCTCAGTTCATACAGCACACGTATCCTCACCTTGCCAGGAGATAAAAAGAATCTTAAGATTCTTAATGACTGTTCTCCAAGTCAATGAAAGAAAAACAAATCTCGAAAATCCAGAAATATTTAAAACATTAAAAATTTCTATTTTCCAAAAAGATATTTACAGGTTCGAATTCAGACTCTGTATTCCCATCAATGTAACTTGTAGAAGAACCTTAGGAAAAAGGAAGCAGTTCATTACAAAAGATCCATGATCAAGAAAATATTGCTTGCTTTTAAATAAATACAAAGTGTCAGAAAAATAAATAGGCTTAAAGACGGCCATTTTCACAAAGAAGTATACACATAAGGAACCAAGGGGGAGAGGGGGAGATACACTGAAATTTCCAAAGGCCTCCAGCAGAGTTGGCTCACATCTGGTTTGATGCCCCTCCCTCGGGGCTTCATTGTAAAAACGCAGACTTTGCCAGGAAAGCGATCACTGAGCCGCGTCCATACCACACACAGCCAGGAGCCCAGAGAGCGTCCACACCACACACAGCCGTGAGCCCAGAGAGCGTCCACACCACACACAGCCACGAGCCCAGAGAGCGTCCACACCACACACAGCCACGAGCCCAGAGAGCGTCCACACCACACACAGCCAGGAGCCCAGAGAGCGTCCACACCACACACAGCCATGAGCCCAGAGAGCGTCCACACCACACACAGCCACGAGCCCAGAGAGCGTCCACACCACACACAGCCACGAGCCCAGAGCGCATCCGCACCACACACAGCCAGGAGCCCAGAGCGCGTCCGCACCACAGCCAGGAGCCCAGAGAGCGTCCACACCACACACAGCCATGAGCCCAGAGAGCGTCCACACCACACACAGCCAGGAGCCCAGAGAGCGTCCACACCACACACAGCCATGAGCCCAGAGAGCGTCCACACCACACACAGCCAGGAGCCCAGAGAGCGTCCACACCACACACAGCCATGAGCCCAGAGAGCGTCCGCACCACACACAGCCGTGAGCCCAGAGAGCGTCCACACCACACACAGCCAGGAGGCGCAGACCGGGCCGGCAGCACTGGCCCATCTAATAAATTGCACCCACCAAACAGCACACAAACTGCTTCCTTTCCTGTGTTTCTCTGCGTTGGTCAACCGATGCAGGTCAAGAGCGAAGTCTCATGCTGACCTGATGCTTTCAAGTTCAAGCTCATTTTCAGTCCTTACAATTGGCAGTCACCTGGGCCTCCATTTTTCTTTTAAATCCATTCTTTTTTATTGTGTCAATTCGCTCTCTTCCCACTGCTGGCTTTAACGGTCTCTGAAGTCCAGATTTCTGTCAGTGCAAGCTCTAGAGTCCAACTCTCGGCCTGGCCTTTGTTCACTTTCCCTTTATCTTTGCACTCCTTGAGATCTCTACACAAATATACAATCACAGCAAAAATGTAAACAACACAGCCAAAGGCAGCACACTCTAGTGACAGTCCGGCAGCTACAACAAAAATCCATGTTAAAAGACCATCTGTTCAAACGGGGGTGTTGTTGCCGTTAGCACTGTCACTTTGTCCAAAGGCTGCAGCACACAACAAGCACACACAGAGCCAGCAGAGCCTGCAAATGTCATCAAGCCCGCTGTCAAATATTGCACATGATACTCAGTC